TTTACTGAAAAAATCAAGTTCTACTACTTGAAATGATCCACTGTGCCATAAGGATGCGATGCAACAAATAATCCGTGTGGTGAGCATCATCTATATTCTATAGATAGATAGATTAACTTGAAAGATATCATTGGACATATAACATTCTTCCGAGTAATCAGTCTGGTTTTCGTTCAGCTCATAGTACCACGTCAGCATTAGTAGATGTAACCAGTCATATAACTAAGGCCCTTGATGATGGAGAAGTTGCGATGCTTTTGCTCTTAGATTATTCAAAAGCTTTTGATACAATGAACCATGCACAAAGTTTTATTGGCTAAATTGAGATATTACGGTTTTGGTGACTCTGCGCTAGATCTACTTAACCATTATTTAACAGATCGTAGTCAGATGGTGAGTTGTAATAACTCACTGTCTAATAGTGCGTCAATTTTTTGCAGGAGTGCCGCAAGGTTCGGTGATTGGTCCCTTATTATTCCTAATATACACTACCGACATAATAAAATCAATTACTCGTGGTTTTACTCATGCATTTGCAGATGACACTCAACTGGTATATAGATTCCAATCAAGTGACTATGCTAGAGTAGAGGTTGAAATCAACTCTGAACGCGAACACCTTTATCAAATATCGAAAAACAATAATCTGAAAATAAATCCAGAGAAGTCTAAAGCAATTATATTCGGAAATAGAAAATCACGAGTGAGAGTAGATACAAATATTTACATAAATATTAATAATAAAAAAGTTGAAGTTGTTACGGAAGCATGAAATCTTGGTTTTACATTCGATAATAAGTTGAAATTTACGAAACACACAGACAAATTGATCCAGAAATCGTACTTCGCTCTCAAAATTCTCTATAGTAGTAGGCAGTTGTTGAATACTACCATGAAAAAAAACTTAAGCGATATCTTGGTGCTATCGACTTTCAACTATGCAGATTTCGTATATGGTCCTTTCCTAGACATAAATGATAAAACACGTGAATAATAGGAGGTCATTACATCTGTTACAATTTATTAACAAAATCTTAGTAACATCTGAGCCCAGTTATGTAAGAAAACAACTTATATAGGCGAAACCTTCATAACATCAGAATTCGTTCTCGTCATATTTTAGACATTCCTAAACATCGTTCTACAATCTTTCAAAAAAGTTTCAGCTACCGTGCACCGAAACAATACAATGAACTCCCGAATTATCTGAAAATATTGAATAGAAATCAATTCAAGCATAAAGTTAAAAAATATTTATTGAATATGCAGAATCATACAAATTGATTGAGTGTCGAGTTTCATGCTGGTTGGAAAATCTGATTGATAAATGTATTAGTTAGGCATTGATGAAGCATTAGAAAATCTGAATTTTGTTTTGTAGGTAATAGCAAAATAATTGCATATTATACTAATTATATAGCTATTGTATTTGGTGGGATACATTAAGTTTATATTGCTTACTCACTAACTACATTTTGCTAACTAACTGACTACATTTTGCATACTAACTAACTACAATTAGAAATATAAAAAATCATTCATTGATGATGAATGAGCACAATTTGATTATGCTCCATATGAATCTGTTTTGTACATATAAACTCGCCAGAAACATAATGGCCAATGGAGCAAGAAGCGTGCTTGATGAACCAAATGTCCCATGCTCGAATCCCATCCACTTTTTTTTCCTTTTTTTTTAACTGATCAATTGAAAAAATGCATTTACTGTTGGGGCCGATACCATGCGCGAAGCTCTCGGCCGTAAATTTTCTGTTATTTTAGTTTCATGTGAAATACCTTTTCAACTTTTGTTGTAGTAAATTATATCAATAAAGTATGTTATTTTCAAATTCTGAATCACATCGATTCAGTTCTTTTTTTTATGTTCTGGTTCTAACGAAAAGAGATATCCTGTAATGTTTAGAGAACATCGTGAGAACCAAGAGAAATAAGGTAGGAATTGGTGTTCTTCTTAAATTTCTGGGCCAGATCGCCAACATGTCTACGGTGTTCCAGAGAAGTGAGTGAGTTTGGTGAGCGAGGCATCACCCACGAGACGAATTGCCTTTTTTTGGACAGAATTCAACAGTTTCAGGGTATGTTTGGGTGCTGCACTCCAAATATGGGAACAATATTCCAGGACAGGTCGAATCTGTGCTTTATAGATCATAAGCAGCTGACTGGAAGTGAAATAGCTCCTGGCCCGAAACAGAAAACCAAGTTTTTAGGATGCACTTTTAGCAATTGATCTCACGTGATTTTCCCAAGGAAGGTTTTTGCTGATAGTAATACCAAAGCATCGAAATAGATGTCTTCAAAGGTATGGTTACTCCTGACAGGCTTATGTTGGGCACAGTGAGATCGGCTTTCCTAGAAAAAAGGCATGCTTGTGTTTTGTTTGCATTGAAATCTACCAAGTTATTGGATCCCCATTGGAGAATTGTTGCCAAGTCCATATTTATGTTAACATTTCTTGTGTACTGGACATGAAGTTGCTTCCAACAAATCGTTGATATGGAGTAGAAATAGTGTTGGTGCTATGATTGATCCTTGCGGAACGTCAGCATTCATGTTAAGAGAGTCAGATGAAACTCCGTCGTCCACTATATGGAGAGACCTGTTTGAGAGAAAACTAGCTAGCAGAGAACATAGCTGGGGAGGCAAGCCATAAGATGGAAGCTTAGCGAGGAGTCCATGGTGCCAGACTCGATCGAATGCCTTGGAGATATCGATTGGCACGGCTAAGGTTTCATCATATTTTTCAAAAGATTGCTGCTATATATGTGAGACGTAAGCAAGCAGGTCACCAGTTGATCTCTGATGACGGAAGCCATATTGCCTATCGTTGATAGGAATGTAATGATCTGTGATATTTATTTGGGGGCTTCAACACGAGAGAAGTCGCGGTTAAAAGCTACAGTGTTTTTTCTCCAAATGACATCAAAAGTGGATTTTTAATAACACATAAAAGGTGTACTTTTACTGCCTTGACAATGACTTTGGGTGCACAAAAAATGATGGATTAGGCTATGGAACGCCAGCCACGGCATTAAATCTTGTACTTTTCTGCCTAGTAAAAAAATAACTATTTTAAGTGTACAATGGTGATCTTATCACAAATGTTGAAAATTATTATGATCAGTTCATAATCATCGAAACAATATTATCTACTTTCTGATGCAATTTTGAAGTGCAGACATGCAATACATTTTTTTAAATGTTATAAGACTTATTTCATGTTGCAACTCGAAATTAATACAGGGTGTTCATATATATCTCTGTTTAGAGAATCGATATGTAGCGACTACAGTGATGTACCGATTTTCTTCTGAGAGTTCGGAAATGAAAAATGTTAAGAGTTCCGAATTTTCTCGGATACCATTTAAATTGAATAAGTAGTTATTCATTATACAAGAAAAAATAGTAGATTGTTTCATTAGGATCAAAAGTGACACTTTGTTCAACAAGCGAAATTTAAATTAACAAAGCCGAGCGACTTTAAAGTCTGAATTCAGAGACAAAAGTCTGAATTCAGATTTCAAAGTCTGAATAAAGAAATATAATAAAATACACATAACAGTGGCCTTTCTACGCTTTCAGTATTTTCTGTTCAAGAACTGTTCATCATAATATAATAATATCATGAAGAAGATTGAATATGAATATTTCAAATTGATTATTTTTTCATTTGATAGGTATTGGGTTCACGAACTATTTGCTTGGATATACAGGAGGTGGCCCTTGAATTATTTCCTCAACTCACGTTGAAAGAAAATTGTCATCTTCACCTAGGAAACAAGTTGCAAGAAAAAATCTGGAGAATCGAACAATTCAAAACGAGCATTTTACTTCACAAGAGACAGTGTCAAGGTATTTTTTCCGTATTAATATCAGCCACTGATCTGAATATATAATTTCCATTTAACTGTTACGTTCTTGTCTGTCATAAGTGTCATAGACGGTATTTTTTCTATTTTAATGATCAATAAAACACTATTCAACTAATACACTACATTTATTAACCCACTCCGACTGATGTGATATATACAGAGAACAACCCGAATCCGTGTTTGCCTATATATAATCCAATTGGTGCCAGAGCCCAGAAGGGACGCTTGCACATAGCCAAAAGATAAAACAGATGTACCTAATCTATGCCCACATATGGTTTTCTAGACATACTTGAAATATTTGGCCAGACACTTTTAGGCCAATCATATTTGAAAATCAACAGCATGGCAAAAAGTCTAAGCGAGAGAGAACCCGAAGCTTACTAGCCTACTTCAAAAACCGTTAAGTTCGAACATTAACTACATCAGAAGTACATGCTGTTATTGCAAACGAACCCATCAAGTTCGATGGACATCAGGTCTAGGAATGAATAAAAACAAGATTTTTTAAACTTGCCACACCCTCTGTATCTCGAAAACTACTGAACTGTTTTTTTATTTTCTTGCGAGAAGTCTATGCTTGAAATTTGTCACAATGTTATGAATGCACTCTACGAATCATATCATTCAATATTTTTGTTTGATTTGACAAAATAGTTTCAAGAACGATGATTAATGTTTTAACTACCGACATTTCCAGAGGAACGAATATCCAGAATCCTAAGCTCTGACCATTGCCGATCTAAATGAAAACCTAGTAGGCGACCTAGTGCGAGGAGGATAACTCCTGCCTACTAACTACCTAACTAGGTTGTCATCTAGAACGACAATGCTCTGACAATATTCAATTTCTTCAGATACTTCATGTCTATGAATTTTTATGTCACAAGCTCCTATACTTCCATATTTTGAAATAAATGATATTGAACCAAATTATAACAAGAGGATTTAGGTATAGACGTCATAAAAAGGTTTGTTAATCTGTGGCATAAAGATATATTGTCTCTTCGCTGGATATCATATAAGCCATTATATGCTATACTGATAACGCCATCTAACTATATTTCAATGAAATGTGCACCTTTATCGCTATTCTACCAATATCTCAACTTTGTTGATGTTGATGGGGGACTCGTTAATAATCTAGGGTAAAACCGTTAAATTCATCATTGCAAGTCAAACCTCAGATAGAAGGTTATTAATTGAATTACTCAGTGATAGTAGTTGGTAAAAATATATAATATATCAATTTTAGATATATCAATAACCAGTCGATCGCTGGTTCGTTGCTATTTCAAAATAGCAATAATTATAAAAAAGTTCAAAACAAGGATCAAGAAAACCCTGATACGACTATCTAAAATAAATAGATTATTGCATTTAGTTTGAGGTTTAAATAAAATATTGATATTGGAAACCAGAATAATTTTTCCAATCCATTCGACATGGGTAACCTGAAGAAAGTATTGGTTCTGTACGTTGGGGGAACGATTGGAATGAAAAGAAATGAGCAGGGTGGTATGTATAACAAAAGTACTTTTTTTATCAAGTACAATTCAAATACAATTTGACCAAGGTAATATCGATTTCGGAAACGGTAGGAGATACAAATATGGTTGAATGTATGGGGTCATTTCAACAGCCTTATAAAATCTTTAAAAGCATTTATAGTTTTTCGTTATATTAAAAAAAAGCCAAAATCTAATGATTTTGTTCTTTTATTATTATTGCAGATACATAAAAACTGATAAAACTGTTTCATACCAACTTTTGATGAGATTAAACGTATTAATATTGATTTCTCTATGCGGATTTTTTTAAACACGGTCCTAATTATGTGTTTACAGATTTCGAAATCTTTTTTTCCATAACGAAAATAACCATGTATTTTATCATGTTTGGTTTACGTTTGACTTAATGATGAAATGTTTAATTTTTCATTGATTGAGCATAGCATCGACATGTATACTGCAAATCATTGACACCATTGACAGTTTTTCATCATTTACCTAGGTAACATTTCTTTCAATGGTAATTTCTCAATTGTGAATTTTTTTCAAATAATCATTATTACTCAACCAAATTCATTCAGAAAAATTGGCCAAAATATAGTTATATATTTCCAGGTATATTTCGATGGCGTCTTTACTTTGGTTTCTATGGAGTGTGGAAAAATGTACAGAGAGGGCTCAAAATGTGCCTCATATACCCAGACAGCACAAAATATTCATAGAATATTCTGACAACGTTATTCTAGAATATTCTCAGAATGAACATAGAATATTCTCATGCTGCAGGGAATATTCTATGAATATTCAATTTGACATATTCTCATAATATTCTTTTTGAATGTTCTGAAAATATTCTTCTTGAATTGCTATCCAATTTATTTATCAATAAGGTTCGTGGCGAAGTGGTTTAGGTTTCAGGCTCGTAAAAATTCAATCACAAGATAGTAGGTTCGAATCTTCACCGGAGCGAGTTTTTTTTAATTTTCTTCATTCTCTTTCAATATACTAGGAATATTCTCAGAATATTCAAAACAGTCCTTTCCAAATGTTCATGAAACATCCCTAGAATATTTGTATCATATTGTGAGAATATTCTGAGAATATTAAAATATTCTCGAAGAATATTCTATAAACGTTCTATGAATGACATTGTGTTATCTGGGTACCTATACTTGATGTCATTCGAAAACCTTTTTTCAGTTTGTTCACCGTTTTTCGATTTCTTATGATAAATTTTATAGTCTATATGAGAATTTTTACGGCGATCATTTTGCTTCAAAATCGTTAACGTTGCTATACAGGTAGTCCCAAAATTGCAGGGACACATAGTAATATAGAGATCAAAATAGGTTGATTGGACAAAATTTATTTACATAACAAAATGTACCATTTGTCCGTGAGGAGAGTTCAAAGTTAACATGCAAAAACACATGTTTATCAGAAATGAGTGAAATAAATGAATTTTGACAAAAGTGCATTTTAGAAGATGACTCTCCTTTCAGCGATCAGAATAACCCAAAAGGGATTGTAGAAGGATTAAGACTACTCTCACCCCCTTGCATTTTTCCAGAACATTATCAAGGGTTCTCAATTTCTTTCAACGAGAAGACATATTAATAATTATCATCATTCTGAAACTCTTGTAAAAACTTCGTAATTCCCAGATTTCTGAAGAAAAAGCATGTTTCATTTAATATAATGCTAACAGATATTCCCAGTTCAAGTTGTCAAATGCACCTGTTTTAATGAAAACTTAGAACTCTTCTCACGGGCAAACGATACTTTTTGGTATATAAATAAATTGGGCCAATCAACTTATTCTGACCTCTTTTACACGTGGTAGCTTTGTGTCCCAGCAACTCTGAGACACCCTGTATTTAAGACAAACATCCTTGGGATGTCACATTCATGTCTCGCTATAGGTAACAATGCGAATTACAAAAAAACATCATTGGTATTGCCTAGGAGACTCTATATTTCACAAAACATTTGCAATATTCATCACAATTTATTGGATTTGAGACATGAAATGTAGCAGAATTTGTGAGGCTCTCTAACAACCAAGAGACTCACTGAGACCTCGCATTCTTGTATATTTATGCAACAAACGGAATAAATCAATTTTGATGCTGAATGAGGAGTCGCTCAATACGTACTGTGAGTTACATTTGGCATCATAATGTGGATCATATAATCACCAAAAGGGTCCGGAGTAGCAGTAATTGTGATTTCAGAGTCACGGAAGTGATGTATATGTGGCATGAATGTGATGCCCTCTCATATCTCTGGATCAATCTGTGTCAACTGGGTATATTAGTGTGCCTAGCCGTTACCATCGAGACTATACGTGGGTAACGGCCTAGCCCTAATACGTTGGAACAGTATTTTTAAATGGGACGGAGCTGTGATATAATAATAATAAATTGCCTTTATTTGACCTGGCGGAGTTCAGCTAATGCTGCTCCCCAGCAAACACAGTTACATCACAGATATATCGCAGCGATGTAATAATTGTGACCTGTGATATCGCATTCTATGTCGCATACATGTCGCTGTGATGTCAGAGGGACGTTACTTTGTCCCACTCAAGTTTCATCCATGCAACGTCGGTGCGATAAGTTCTCTGCGATATGACAGCGATATATTTCATGCAATGTTACTGCGATATGTTATGTGTGATGGAAAAGCGATGCGTTTTGGACCAAAAAAAAAGTTTCCTCAAACATTGTGATGAAAATTGGTACACCAGTGACTTCTGATGACATATAATTATTATATATTATCAATCAATTATATATTGATTATGTGTTGTTGTTACTAGTTGGTGATCCCTCGGGTCTCATGTCCATTCAATCGTCTTTTGAGTGTTGCTATTCTTGGTACCCACGAATCCTACGAATCTCTATCAGAATAAGATCTGTTACTCGTATTGATATAAAAAATTATGTAGTTTGAGTCGGCGAGATGTTAGCAAACCAAGAATAGTTTGATAGCAATGTATAACTAATATTTGCGAATTTAGCTTCACTTTGTTGAGTACCTAACGTATAAATATTCATGTATTTTTTTCACCGAAGAAGAATCAAAATAACAAATATTTGAAAAATTCTCGCATATTAGTTTGCTCCTGTAAATCGCAGCGATGGTACATTCGTAAAATATCGTCGTGTTGCCTCATCACGCCATCTCAGAGATGTCATGTCGCAGATGTGTCTGCTTCTGTATATCGCAGCGATGAAATATTCGTGTTATCGCAGTACGTTGTCTCATCGCGACAACTGAGAGATGTCATGTCGTAGATGTGTTTGCTTCTGTACATCGCAGCGATGGAACATTCGTAATATCGCAGTGTTACCTCATCGCGACATTCCAGAGATGTCATCTCGCAGATGTAGGTATTTGCTTCTGTACATCGTAGCGATGGTACATTCGTAGTAATATCGCATTGTTGCCTCATCGCGACATCTCAGAGAAGTCATGTCGCAGAGGTGTCTGCTTCTGTATATCGCAGCGATGAACCATTCGTAATATCGAAGTGTTGCCTCATCGCGACATCTCACAGATTTAAGTCGCAGATGTGTTAGTTTATGAACATCGCAGCGATGGAACGTTTGTGATATCGCACTGTTACCTAAACGCGGCATTTTGGAGATGTTATATCACAGATGTGTTGGCTGTGTCCGTGCTGCTCTTCCACTCAACCAATGTTGAGGTGTAAAGTAGGTTTTTCTCCAAATTACATAGAAAGTGGCTTTTTAATGACACTTGACCGGCACAAATGGTGTACTTCCTCTGCCTAGGCAGGAAAAGTTTGTTGCTATGCAACGTTCCAAGTATAATAATTCGAATAAAATTGGTACTTAATCAAAATTGAGAATGACTTAGGGCGAACACAAAATGATGGATTATTTGGACTTTGCGTGAAATTGGATGAATTTATATGTTTCACATGGCAGAAAAGCAGATTTAATGCGTTGGCTGGTTTCCTATAGCCTCAGCTACGCCTTGGGTATGAAACGCCTGAAGAGGGTGCTCTCCTGCCTAGTAAAACAAATAACTATTTTCTCCAAATGACATAGAAGGTGGCATTTTAATGACAGTTGACCGGCACGAAAATTATGTTTCACACTGCAAAAAAGCAGATTTAATGCCTTATACACAGAAGTGCACAAAAACGGCCAGGATTGTACCTTTTGAATTATTCTAGATCGGGTTTTGAAAATTGGTGGGTACCAAGTATACCAAGTTGCTCATTAATTGATGAAACAATTTTTTTTATACCACTTCCAGTTTCACCGGGAACGTCCTCAACTTTTGATTTTCAAATGGGACACCTTGTTTTGTATTCCATAATCGGTAAGGGATTATCATAATGAATTCAACGATACCGGGTTTGCTATATGGTTAATTCAAACAATTATACAAAGATATTTGCGTTCGAAGTTTCCATATACTCAATGGGTGTGACAGAGACTGAAGTTTCGATTATGCGTAGTCGCAATATCGACTTCGAACTTCTTTCTAATAAGTCAAGTTTTTGAACCATATCGAATATACGAAATATCATTAAAAAGTCTGTCGTCTGTCATTCTCTTCGCTGCTTATCTCTTAGTCTCGAATGTTTCAATGTGAATTATTCATATCCGTCGTTACCATTTCATATAATCAAAATATCTACATAAAAACCGTTATGACTATGTTGAAAACGCTATAATTCCGACACGTCGCAAATCAGGTTGGAATGTCGCTTTCACTACTCTAGATTCAGTGACAAAACCGCTAAGATGGCAACTCTAAAACATTGAAACACAACCTCCCTTTTATTATTTGTTTACAAAGGAATCGAAGGATTGAAATAGTTCTTCACTATTTTGGCATACGAATCACAATAATTCAAGCATGCCACCCACATAGTAATGTTGTACATAGCACAAAAAATACAGCGAGAGACAAAGAAATATGATTTTTCAGGTAAATAGTGATCTCACAAAGTTTTCGTTATAAAAGTTTGTCAAGTCTCATTAGAATTCCTTCTGCTATTTCTGCAACAGATGCAAATACTGCTAATAGAGTGAAAATAGCTACAGCACACGCTCATATTTCGTCAGCATGTCGCATGTCAGATCAGGCCTCTACAGTCCTCTCGACCCTCCCGTTTGATTGCATGAATCCAATCTTCTTGCCTCCTTTCAGAAACCTCACGAGTTTTTCCTTTAGCTCCTATTAGGATGAATGCCAATGAGAAATGACAACATTCGTCTCTCGCTGCATTTTCTGTGCATTGTACTTGTACAACAGTACAATGTGATGGCATGCTTGAATTAATGGATAGCCGAAAAACACGATTCGTGTGCGTCAGTGTGCGAACATAATTACGAAAAACTATTTCAATCCTTTGTAAACAAATAACAAAAGTGAGGTTGTGTGTTGTGTTTCAATGTTTTACCTCCAGGGTCGGTCATCTGACAGATCTTGCACGCAACCCATAGGTTAACAGGAGGAGAAGGTTAATTGCGCCGCAAAGTTTTTAGAAGCCGAGAAATTACCAATATGCCAACTCGTCGTATTATAATAAAAAATAAGTCGATGATTGTTCAAACTCACAGTTTTTCACAAATTCATTGAGCTAAAGTGGGTTAGATACTTTTTTGCGAGGAACTTATCAAATTATTGAATGAATTCGACATCATCTGAAGTTAAATGTCAATGTCATCTTACCTATGAACGTCAAAAAATCTTCATTATAATTTCATGCTCCTCCTCCCAAGGAGGAGGAAAAAATATCCGGAAGTTTGTTTAGTTGCTGTGGTAACGATACAAAATGCATCAGGCTTCTAATTGGTCGATAATGTTGGGTGTGAAATTCCCCATATAATTAGGATGAGTTTTAAGCGTAGTATAGGCATGTATACATCAGGGTGTGTACAGGGTGAGCAAAGCTCGATGTCCCAGCTCTATTATAAGAAGAGGAACAATACTTCTGATAAGAGGCTTTTGAAGGGGATTGTGGTGGAAGTACCATTGGTTTACAAGTAATGACGTCATCGAAATCTATGAACAAAAAACCTTACACAAAATTTACAAAAGGCTTACAATGAGGAATAATTTTAGTAGATTAATCTCTTCCTCAATTCTTGTATTTTTTTAAAACTCTCAAAAGTCACCCTCAACACTTGTTCATGAACAACTATTCAATATCCTAGTAATTACGAAAAGTAGCTAGGATTTTGAAAAACTACTAATATTCATTTTTTAAATGTATGAGAAATTGATATTCATCATGCAGCACGTGGAAAGAAATTCTGAATTGAGAAAAACCTTATCACGAATCTGCGTGGCAAATAGACAAGAAAGTAGTTGTTTTCTGTCGAACATTCAGAATTATATTATATGCATATCTTTATATGAAGGAGAATGCAAACTGTCAACTTCAGAAGATTTTGTTTTCAAATTCTTTTCGTGTGTGTTCAATAGATGTAATTCGATATTCGTCGTGGCATATAGCCAGGAAAGTAGTTGTTTTCTGTTGAATAAACCGAGAAAGAATTGATATTTTCATCACATCCATATATCCATTTTTTTTGTGTTCATAAATATATCTGAGAATGTTTCTTTTCAATACGAATATTCATTTTATACCTAGAAACCAAGATAAGATCACTTGTTGGTCTGGCTTATCAGTGCAACAAAGGATCAAAACTGCACAATTTTAATCTCCTGATGCAGATGCATATCGGATCAAAATATAAAATTCCCAGGATTGATACGTTAGAATCAATATCATCAGTTATCAGTTGAAAGTTTAAGTCATAATTGAATCCAGATAAAACCAAGCAAAAAACTCTATCGTGATAAGAATGAGTCATTTCTCAGAATTACCTTCTCATAAGAAATGTGTTATTCATATCATGTCCGTTCCAAAATATGGGCATATCTACTAAATCTCTGTATATTATTTTTGAGGAATCGAATAGAAATTTCTGGTCTGAAATAACATTTCTTGTCCTATCTAATTGAGCTCATGGGACACCAACTTCTCTATATTTCATCAGAAAGTTGCCTCAATTCGATTACAAAAGAATTGAATATTAAATATTCCATATATATTCTTCATGAGTAAATGTCTTTGAGGAATTAACATGACTTCATTTACTTTAGGTTAGACTGGAATTGTGTGTTAAATAACATTTATTTTCTTGTCAAATTGTCTCCTGATTTCTGTGTTTACACTTCTCTGTATCAGATGTTGATGCAAAGAATGTGAAATTGATCAGTTCATTGAAATAGACGGCATTTAAATGGGGAAAAATCGTACTATAGAGTGATATCAACTCGGATACCAATAGTATAATTTCTCCATAAGGAGTCAGCTAGTCTTATTATTTTCAAACTACTGAGAATGTTCAAACAAATAAGCCTATTTTCAGCAATTAATTTGAAAAATCCATTTTTTCTGTGACGGGAAAAAGTTTGGCATTTCATATCTGTTGGCAGGTAATAAAATGTCACTTTTCATAAATCACTTTTTTCCCGTGGGAAAAAAGTGAGTACTTTTTTCCCGGATATATATCACATATATATACACTGTTGATGGCTTTTGTTGTGCTATAGTTCCGAAAAATGAGTCAATAATACCGTCTCCGAGAAAGAACTGCAAGTCCTTTTATCTTCCATTCGACTTCGCGGTTACGTATATTACTAAACAACCACTAAATTCGCAATTTTTTGAAATCAAATCACAGAATATTAGACTGACAGAAGTGAACCGTGTAACTAGCGCCCTCTATGGAGATATAGAAACAAGTTCATGCGATGTGTCAGATTCCAAAAAAGATCCATGCGAAATTTCATAACAATGTTGTCAGTAGTTTCGACATAATCTTGAAAAATGTTTTAAAAAAAATTTTTTTTTAGCACCTTGTATCTTGATAACGGATGCCGTTACGAAATTTTTTTACTGAGCAAACCCAACTTATTTTGCAGTGTTCTACCTACCCTAGTAAGGAAGTCAGGTTATTTTGAGACACCCTGTATATATGTGATATATATCCGGGAAAAAAGTACTCACTTATTTCCCACGGAAAAAAATCAATTTATGAAAAGTCACAGAAAAATAGTATATTGTGCAACAAGTGGGAAAAGCTCAACTTTTCGCACGAGTGTGAAAGTTTGTGGCACGAGCCTGGAGATTTCATAAATTTTTCCTTCATGCCAATTCATACTTTTTTCTAGAAATTTCCGGAAACAAATCCAACTTTCGCAGCTTCTTCCATCATCTCTGCCTCTGGCGGTGTATTTATCAAAATCTTCACTTCACATCTCGGAATATACATCATATTATTTATTATGAATTGTTGGAATAATATTTGATGGAAAACGCGATTTCTATCAAAAGCACTAATGAGAACTATCCTAAAGAATTCAGAAAACTTCTTCTGACAGTTGTGACAACTATTCAAAACTGAACAGCAGCCAAGTTTTGGTCAATTTTGTTGATTCTCCATGGAAATGTATGTGGTGTTGACAAAGTGCCGTGAGAAAAAATATTTATGCACTAACGAGCCGTAAAGTGCACTTTAACGCCCGGTTTTGCGGGCGTTAAGTCGCACTTTACCGCCCGCGGGCTCATTATGTTCTCAGTTACCTTTTATCTACATATCAATTCATGAAAAATCTATGATCATTTTCCTAGATTCTAATATATCCAGCGGTATATCAATAACTTCTTCTTTATCCGATTCCATATCTATCGCTATTATTATTATTATCACCAATTTTTACTTTTCTGTCAGTGAATGACAATTCAGCTCGTTTATTGGATGTATTGATATAGACAACAACCATCAGCTTGATTGACAACGTCAAAATTAGTTAGGTATATATACTGGGTATGCATATTGTATAATTCTGAAGAATGAATCTCTTCTAGAGATCAAAGAGTTTTACTATTACGATAATTGCAATATTCGTACGATAATTCTCATATGTAAATCATCCATGAACATTACGCTTCTCTTGATTACTGAATTTATACGCAACAAATTAAATTCGGGGGAATATTAGTTTATCGAAATCTATAGTCATTACTTTCGATTCAGAAAATAAACCACTAGTGCATAAAATTTTGTATGTATCACGTGCGTGCAATGCGTTTATGGCCTTCAGCGTGTAATGCATTATTCACGCCACAGGCCATAAACGCCAACTTTACGCCCTTGATACATAAATAACTATTCTCACAGTATGGGCAATACATGGTTTTGAAACTAAGTACGCTATGAGAAATGCTCTACTTTTTATAGCAGTAGTAGAAAAAAATATTTTTTAGTCAATTGGAGCAGCTCTAGCAAACAACATACGCTGCGCGCTGTCGGTCCGTTTAAAGTTCAAACGAACCGACAGGGCGGACACTACTTGCTAGACGCGCTCCATATGACTTTGGCAAGACTATACACGTTGATAGTTTGCCTCAAGCTGACGGTTCTTTTTTTTTTCAGTGCTCATTCCTGTTCCCAACGCCTTTTTGATAGAAGTGAAATACCATAGTGAAATGCACGATCCGACATTGGCAGCCAGATATAATATAAAATTGAAAGAAAATGAGCTTATTTTACCAACGTAAGTATCAAATGTAAAATCAGAACATATAGACCAGTGCTGAAGCCTTTGAAAACGGTAAAATGTGAAGAAAAATCATAGTAGGATGAAACTCATTGAAAAAGAAAGAGAATATAACAAAGATGGAAGGGAAAATAAATTACGGGCGATCTGAGGTCGGGAAGTGGTAGGGGTGAGTTTTCAAGGGTAAAATACGGTTTATCTTGATTTCCAGGAAACCTACGAGCCCTATGGAAAAAAGGTAAATAGCAAAGTTGTAGGTAATAAAGAGGCTTACAACTTTTGTGCGCACACTTTTTCCACATAACCTCAAAATTTATGTGAAAAATTCTAAAAATCAACTTTTGGGTTTTTTATTTTTATCTTCTGCAGAAAAACATTTTGTCACGAAATTGGGTCAGAACTCACGTTTTCATGTCCTAAAGACACTGTAATTTTTCTGATTCGAAATATTTATTTTTTCACCTTATATTGACTTGATATCGAAAAAACACCCTGATTTTCAATCGAAAATTCTCACGTAAAAAAATCAGCTTTTTGAAAAAACTCTGGGCGTTTTTTATTCGTTGAAATCTCTTCTTCCTGATAATGTAAGAAAATATACAATATATTAGGTACTATGGTAAATGTTCTCAGAAAATGCAAAGAAAAAAAACTCGAATCCGAATTCATTTTAAATCACTATGTACAATTTCGAGCTATTTCGTGAAATTTCCACTCCAATTATTTGAAAAACGTGAGATTCTATGTTCTATGTTACATTGAAAAAAAAAATTACAAATCCATAAATCAAATAGATTGCAAGATACATGCGAAAATAGTTGTTCTAAATATTAAAGATAGGATTTGAAGGGGGGATTTCAATATAAAAAATGTGATTGCATCTATTATTCATTACTCTTTGTCTTTTCGGTGGCATTTCTTCATCGCTAGATTCGACAAATCTTCAAGACCATCACATCACCGTCTTCGTATCCAATATTATTTTTAGTCTGAATTATTGGTCCTCCATCCACAATTCCATCTGATTCACTAACTAGTAACTTCCTTCAAATCCTATCTTTAATATCAGAACAATTATTTTCAAATGTTCCTTGCAATCTTTATGTAATTAAGTGTAAATAAAATAGCTCAAAATTGTACATGGTGATTAAAAAAAAATTCGGATTCGATTTTTTTCTTTTCCATGCTTTTCTGAGAACATTTACTATAGTCATGTGTATATTTTTTTTTACATTATCAGAAAGAAGAGATTTCAACGAACAAAAAAAGCCCCGAGTTTTTTTAAAAAGCTGATATTTTGACGTGGGAATTTTCGATTGAAAATTATAGGGTGTTTTTTCGATATCAAGTCAAAATAAGGTGAAAATATAAATATTCCACATCAAAAAAATTACAGTGTCTTCAGGACATGAAAAGGTAAGTGTTCACCATAGGTGAGAAAAAAAAATTTTTGCATGAGAAAAATAAGAAACCAAAAACTTGATTATTTGAATTTTTCACATAAATTTTGAGGTTATGTGGAAAAAGTGTGATTTTAAAAGTTGTAGGTCTCTTTTTTACTTACAATTTTGCTATTCAACTTTTTTCCATAGGGCTCGTAGTTTTGCTGGAAATCAAGATAAACCGTATTTTACCCTTGAAATTTCACCCCTACCCCTTTCCGACCTCAGATCGCCCGTAATTTATTTTCCCTTTCATCTTTGTTATATTCTCGTCCTTTTTCAACGGGTTTCATCCTACTATTATTTTTTTTTGTTTCAAAAATTAACGACCCTGGTATAATATCAGAAAATCATCTGAAAATAAATTGTCTCTTTTATTCTCACTAAAATATATATATCATCTGTGTATATGTATTTCTGAAATACACTCACCAGAAAATAATCGCTCCATTAAATATATTGATGTAGTTTGATCATCAATAACTTTGAAAATCCATGTCCGATTTGTTTTTTTAAAGGAAACTGGTAAAAGTTTTAAATCTCAACGATTGTTTTGGAGTGTTTCTTTCCTTGCCATGTGGCTTTCGGCGTTCGCGTTCATTTCGCGGACATTGAACGCCTCGTGTGGTATAGATGCTAAGATACGTTTACGTTGGGTCAGGTTCGCACCAGATAGCGGTCAAGAATGCTATCTGGGACAGCCCTGCGCTGATGAGATCCAAGAGCTCGAAACCGGTCTGTAGGTAGTCACACGTTCCTCAATCTCTTAGGCGCAGCTCGGCGTTCAGGAAGGAAACACTTGCGATTTTATTTGTCTATACGAATTATTGCATAGATTTCGGGAGGAAGTAATTCGATCAATGTTCTGCGTGACATATACCCAGGAAAGTAGTTCTTTTCCTCACTATAGACCATTCTCGTTCATTATATATTGTGGCAATGACTTTGACTTTATCTATCTTTGTGACCTTTGCATTCCAGTTTGAGTATTTGGCTTTTTCCTAGTTCAAAATACGCCAGTCAGGCAACCAGCCACTCATATTTCACCTGAAATGGGATCTTGTTTTGGAGTGTTTCTTTCCTTGCCAGGTGACGTTCGGCGTTCGCGTTCATTTCGCGGATATTGATGAACACCTCGTGGGGTATAAATGCTAAGATACATTTACGTTGGGTCAGGTTCACATCAGATAGCGGTCAAGAATGCTATCTGGGACAGCCCGGTACTGATAAGAGCCAAGAGCTCGAAACCAGTATATAGGTAGTCACGCGTTCCTGAACCACTTAGGCGCAGCTCGTCTATACGAATTTTTGTATAGATTTCGGGAGGATGTAATTCAATGTTCTGTGTGGCATATAGCCAGGAAAGTGGTTATTGTCTCTCGTTATCTAAGGTTTCCGTTCATTTTATGAACTATTGTGGTGATGACTTTGAGTTTCTCTCTCTTTGTGATAAATACAAATATACATGCAAAGCTATTGAAAGCATGGTAAAAAAAAATAATCGAATTGGACTTGAATTAACAGAGTTATTGACGAGCAACTACAAACAACATCATCGCAACTTAAAAGGTGGAATTTCCTAATTTTTAGACGTTATGGTTTGGATGATTTATTGTATCAGATTGTTGAATATGATCCACTATTAGATTCCAGTAATATGACCCCGAGGGATTGGGATAGGATTGCCAAAAATATAGAGGTGAATATACAGTACCTATACTAATACGGTTACCACACTAAATTTTAGTCAGTAGTAATTTCAACGCTATCATTTGATTCACAACTTTGAATTTCAGTAGGTAAACTACTATTTTTAGTATTATATGCAATTTTCTACAATTCTGAATTGATATTTCGTTTCATGAAAAAATTGCAGGCTGGCTAATATAATCTCGATATATAGATACTATTATCACCCGATAGGTATACTATTACTTATATGTTGTGAATAACATTATTTATTGCTAACAGCGTATTGGCTATCGATATAATATAATTCTCATTCCAATCACATTCAAGTTTAAACCGTTAGATGAACTGACGAAAAATATCAGTATAGATATACATCTATTACGTCAGCTTCCCATTGTCCATATTTGGGTCATATCGCCTTATGCATAAGCCATTGTAACTGGTGACCATTACAACATGACGTCTATTCTTGATTGTTCTAGTAGTCAATACCTACTCTATATCGCTATTTTAATAATTGTTGCATATATAATTCAATCATAATATCGCCATGCATATACAGGATGTTTCAGTTTTTTGTAGCAGGACTTTAACAGCTTGAAGAAGACATTTTTTCCAGATGGAAATCTCAGAAAACATATATGTGTGGGAGCTTCGTTTCCGATTTACAGGGTGTCGAAGTTTCAGATTTTTTTTATGTTTTTTGAATTTTCTCCTACAATTTTCGGAATAATTGATTGAAATTTGGTACACCTAATACACTTCAAGAACTCAATATTTGAGGCGATTTGAGGCTATTGAGCCTATTTAACCCTGTAGAACTTTTTTGCGTGCCGCCTCTGCTTTCAATGGGACATGGATTCAGATTGTCTCTGCAATTTGGAAACTTTTTGCCCCCATGTATGTTTTTCGAAAACTGTATGGATTTCGAGATAAATAAAAGTGGAATCCGGTACTGATAAAATTAGAACTGCCGTTCACGAGATTAAATTATCAAAACTCACAACACCTCAACCGTCAGAAGCGACAGTCTAGCGATGTATAGCGCCTAGACCGTGTGTCATACAGTTACAGTCCCTGATATCGAAAGTTTAATCAGTTTCAGTTATACAAGGTGTCCTAGAATTTTCTACAATACAATTTCAGATTTTGCAATCCAGTTAAAGAAGTTTTTTTCAAAATAAAAACATTTTTTCTCTGTTGTTCCTAGTTTTAATTATAATGGTGTTGAAAAAATTCAATCTAATTTTGCAACTGGATTTCATTTGGTATGGAAGCTTTCGGTCATTCTATTTTCCAATAAAATGTTTGAGAAATGTCAAATAAGTGTGTTTGAGAAATAACGGTTTTATTACAAGTAATTTATTTTTGGCATTTATCTCGAGATCCATACAGTTTTCGAAAAATTCACATAGAGGCAAAAATTTCAATCAATTATTCCTAAAATTGTAGGAGAAAATTAAAAAAACATAAAAAAATCTGAAACTTTGACACCCTGTAAATTGGAAACGAAGCTTCCACGAATATATGTTTGTATGAGATTTTCAGCTTAAAAAAATTTCTTCTTCAAGCTGTTAAAATCCTGCTACAAAAAACTGAATTACCCTGTATATCTACAATATGTAGTGATCTTTGTATTTTTTAATCTTGAAGTCTTACATTTCAAAATAATTCAACTCGAACTCATCATCAGGTCTCCCAGCTTTAAGTAGGTATCTATATAATCGATGTACCGGTATAAAAAAAAATACCAACTCATCAAGATTTCAAGTTCTCTCGAAAAATTGAAATAGGCTCATAGGCTGTACCTGTAAGGTGCACAAGTGGTGTCCTACGTGGGCGACTGCTATGCGAACGCAAAGCGAAGCAATTCGACGCGAAAATGTCAAACCACGAAATATACAGGGTGCCCGTTTTTCGAGCTTCACCATGAGGATCTCAGTATTATCATAAGAGATACGAGGTCTGTTGAATTAGAGCAAAGTTGCGCATTTTCATGCTGAACATTTATTGATGTGTCATTTTTAGTATTTAAATTATTCGAAGAAAACGAAAATTTGTAATATTCGTTTTTATTTTTTCAAGAGAAAACCAAAAGACTTAGACGTTTCTGACTAGGACGTTCTTGAGACACTTTTTTACAAGGAATCTAAATCTGTCATCGTATTTTCCATGACGTTCTTGATTCCCAAGTTACAACACTCAACTTTGTTTTTTTCTCATGAGCGCCATATCGTGTTTTTGCATTTTTGAAAAGTCTTTTTTTTTCTGATTACAATGATGTATCACACGATATGATCGAATCTTTCCTGGTGATCAAAATTGTCAAAAAATCATTTTTGCGAAGAGTGCTTTGGACGGAACGCCAACAGTCTTGTTTAACATGTTTAACAGCCTGAATTTTGACAGTTCAATTGAATATGCGAACGCCGAGTGTCTGTCAGATATGTTCCCTGACAAGGTAATTTTCAACAATGGAGACATACAGTGGCCGGCGCTGTCACCTGATCTCTCTCCGCTGGATTATTATTTATTTGGAACTATGAAAGATTTGATTTTCAAAACTGTACCGATTGATGAGCTGAGAAGAACCATAATCACTACTTTCATGACTATGATTAGAAGACGGGACATCTCGCAACAATTCAGAATCTGAGAAAACTCGTAGAATTGTGTTCAGACTTTGTTTTGTTTTGCGAAGAATAAACTTCTAGCTCATTACGTCGTACCTAATAGGCCTTTTCATCTAGATATATTTCCAAGACGCATGCGCTCGTTTTTAGATCCAACAATTCATTGGGTAATGCAAAGGTGAAGTCTCATTGGCTATAGTTCCAACACAAAATCCTGATTGGCCATTTCGAATATGGCGGGTATTATTGACGTTCTGTCAAATGTCAACAGTGTCAACCACCATGAGCATTCGTCATTGAGAAACAACAATAACAACAAAGTATTCTTGTTTTTATATTCCCGGTGTGTATTAATTGTATTATAATAATTTAATTCCAAAAAACGTTACTTATTCGTTACTGAGGAGTGTGGTACTGTGGTGTAAGAGTTTCAGTGAAAATGGCCGCCACTGTCGTTGGATGCGAGATGTAAACAGAGATAGTTATTTGTCATCTAAATGAAAAGGCCTATTCAAAACCATAGTTTTCAAGTAGATGAGCTTTCAAGTCTTCGCAAAAATGTTTTTTTCCCAATTTTGATCAACAGGAAAGATTCGATCATATTGTGTGAAGGATGGAGAGAAGATGGTGAAAACACTGATAGTGTTTTGTTTCGACCAAAACGCTTACGCCATTGTCATTAAAAATGGCATAATAGTTCTCACTTCTCCTGTAAGATGGCAAATTTCTTACAGATTTCTGTAATATCAACCTTACTTGCCTACAGTTGGCCCACCATCTTCTGTCCATCCTTATTGTGTGATACATCAATGTAATCAGAGAAAAAAAGACTTTTCAAAATGTATAAAACTCCAATATGGCGCCTATGAGAAAAAACAAAGTTGTGTGTTGTAACTTTGGCATCAAGAAGGTCATGAAAAATACAAATACAGATTCAGATTTCTTGTAAAAAAGTGCCTTAAGAATGACCTAGTCAGAAACGTCGGTCTTTTGGTTTATGCTTGAGAAAATAAAAACGGAAATTATAAATTTTCGTTCTCTTCCAATAATTCAAAAACTAAAAATGACTCATCAAATTTTCTTACAGCTAAATGTTCAGCATGAAAATGCGCAACATTGCCCTAATTTAACCGACCTCGTATCTCTTATATTAACTAAGATCCCCATGGTGGAGCTCGAACAACAGACACCCTGTATTGAAGTATTCTATGTGAACGTATACACGCCACAAGCGACGATCAAGCGACGACTAGCGACGCGATGCGATTAATTGGATTGATATTTTCGCGTTGCTTCGCTTTGCGTTCGAATAGAGTTCGTCCACGTAGGACACCGCGTAAACGTATACACGCCACAAGCGACGAACAAGCGACGACTAGCGAAGCGTTGCGATTAATTGGATTGATATTTTCGCGTTGCTTCGCTTTGCGTTCGAATAGAGTTCGTCCACGTAGGACACCGCGTAAAAGTTTTACAATGTTGCTGATGTCAACTCTTTTGTCTTTTAGTTGTACTTATACCTACTGGGTTCAGGGTTCAACTGAAACTCTCAATTCTTTAGGTGTAGGAATATAATTGGTGACTACATCTCTCAACATTCTCTGGAGTTTTTTCTGACTGTTCGTTGAGAGGTCGAGGCCCTCAGAATATATTTGACTGCTTTGAAATTCCATAATGTATTCAATGAGACGGTTGCAGGAAATTTTATAAATTGTTCTCTCAATTAATTATACAGAGCCAGTACCATTCATTCGATGGATTTGTTGTACTTCATGGAACAGATACATTGGCATACACTTCTTCAGCATTATCCTTCATGTTAGAAGGATTACAGAAACCTGTGATATTAACAGGGTCCCAAGTAAGTTGACCTTATATTTTCATAGGGAATAATCATGTTATCATCAGAATATCTCCTGATTTTCTCAACAAACTCATTGAGAATATTGTGTGCGACGACGCCAAGCAGAAGTCAAATATTGTGAACTCAAAGATAATAACACAAATCATTAATTCATCCTCATCAATTTGTTAATTTTTTATTCGTTCGATCCTGTATTTCTTCATTCGTTCTTTCGTTATTCCATTCGTTCGTTCATTCGTTCTCCCGTTCGTTCATTCGTTAATTCCTTCATCTGTTCATCCGTTCATTTGTGTATTCGTTCATTCGTTCATTCGTTCATTCGTTCATTCGTTCATTCGTTCATTCGTTCATTCGTTCATTCGTTCATTCGTTCATTCGTTCATTCGTTCATTCGTTCATTCGTTCATTCGTTCATTCGTTCATTCGTTCATTCGTTCATTCGTTCATTCGTTCATTCGTTCATTCGTTCATTCGTTCATTCGTTCATTCGTTCATTCGTTAATTCCTTCATCTGTTCATCCGTTCATTCGTGGATTCGTGCATTTGTTCATTCGTTCATTCGTTCATTCGTTAATTCCTTCATCTGTTCATTCGTGCATTCGTTCATTCATTCATTCGTTCATTCGTTCATTCGTGCATTCGTGCATTCGTGCATTCGTTCATTCGTTCATTCGTTCATTCGTTCATTCGTTCATTCGTTCATTCGTTCATTCGTTCATTCGTTCATTCGTTCATTCGTTCATTCGTTCATTCGTTCATTCGTTCGTTCGTTCGTTCGTTCGTTCATTCGTTCATTCGTTCATTCGTTCATTCGTTCATTCGTTCATTCGTTCATTCGTTCATTCGTTCATTCGTTCATTCGTTCATTCGTTCATTCGTTCATTCGTTCATTCGTTCATTCGTTCATTCGTTCATTCGTTCATTCGTTCATTCGTTCATTCGTTCATTCGTTCATTCGTTCATTCGTTCATTCGTTCATTCGTTCATTCGTTCATTCGTTCATTCGTTCATTCGTTCATTCGTTCATTCGTTCATTCGTTCATTCGTTCATTCGTTATATTATCATATTTCTATTTTTTATTTATTTATTGCTTTACATAATAATTTTTTTAGGTACAAAATGAACTTTGAAGGCTTATTGTGTGTGCACCAGTCATTATTAAATCACATTTACAACAGATAATTCACCAATGAGTGAATTCGCTAATGAATCGTCTCAAATACTAATATCTGGACTAATATCGAACTAATATGTAAAATCTGAATATATACAATATATGCAATATATGTCAAACTAATAGCTAGATATTGGGTTTGTTTTTCAAAGCCTAAGATGATATTTTGATTTTGATTTCTTTGTATGGTTTGCCTTTGAGTTCGTTTAGTATAGTATATGTTATACATTTTCGGCCCTATATTAAATAAACTTCGCTGAATAGTTACATAAGATGTAGAAGAAACAATTACATTTTCATTTGTTACTGATCTAGTTGTTATAACATGAGTAACTTTCAGAATATTCATTTTTTTTGTGAAATATATCTTACAACTGATTTTAATTATAATTGAGAAATGCAAGAACTCTTGCATCTTCGGAGAGTTTGTAAGTAGGAAGTGTTTTATTTCTGAACATTATTATTTTTTAAATGTATTGACATTGGCATAAGCTGAACCCCAGGCTGAAATTCCACAGACTAATTTTTAATACAACATATTTAATGTGATAGTTCCACTTCATGTGTGGGTCAGTTCCCTTCCCAAATACTTTATTCTATTATCAAATTTGATTTTTAAATTACATTGGCAATTGTTCATTTCGTAACTATATACAATTATAGGCTTATGAAATATCAGCGATTCTTTTTCTGGGAGGTTCTTCATTGTTAAAGTGAAACTCATGAAGTTGGACTTTTCAACATTTAGGTTTAAGATTTCTATCAAGCCATTTTTTTACTAAACTTAAGGCGGTCTCAGCTTTATTATCACCTTATTCCAAGAGCCATCCTCAAACAGCAAAGCAGTGTCGTCTGCATAGCTAATCACCTTTTCCTCAGATAAGACTCTGGTCAAGCTGTCTATGTATACAAGGTGATTCTAAAATAGGTGGTCAAACTTTGGGAGCATATAGAGTGGGTGAAATAGTTACGAAAACCTCTGTAACATTTTTTTCTGAAGTGACCCCCAAGAAAGATACAGCTCCTCAAAGGGGGGGGGGTTCGGAGAATGATTTTGTATTATTATCTCCAACACCTTGTATAATGAGAATCTGAAATTTTGTCCATCCACTTACTATTCAGTGCCGGTTCTAATGGAGTTAAAATCACCTCGAAATTAAATACAGGGGTGTGTCAAAATAGGGAGGTAGGGGGTAAAAATAACCCCAACTTTTTTGTTCATAGCAATTTTAGTTTTTTCACATGATATTATGAAATCTCAGGGCTATTTACATAGAAAAGGTGCTCTACTTGCATCTCGATAAAATGAACTATTAGCGAATAAAATTTAAGAAAAGCTTGTTTTAACAATATTTTTTATTTTCAATTGGATAGACCATAATCACGAAACTCCTCGTTTCGTAATTATTTCACTCACTCTTTATACTCCCAAAGTTCGACCACCTATTTCAGAATCACCTTGTATATGATGAATAATATTATCATCCTTATTCTCTAATATGTTTCAGATACCGATTTTTGAAACGAGGAGTGACGCAAAAAATAACATTATATCATCTCTCATAATCGCAGGATGCTACAAAGTGCCGGAAGTTTGCGTACTTTTTGCAAATAAACTTTACCGGGGAAATCGTGTTACGAAATTCAAAGCCATGGACCTAGATGCGTTCGATTCCCCAAATTATCATTCGTTGGCAGACGTTGGAGTAGGAATTGAACGTACGTCTCCTAGACCCTACTAAATTTATATTTAGAGTGACAATACCCATACTTTCAGATACCTATTTAACTATTACCAAAAATCACATAATAATATAAATAATACCTGAAATAAAAATTGAAATCTATACATACACGGTGTACGTTTGAAAACTTTCAATTCGAATATCTCGCGAAATAAAGAAGTCTGAAAAACGCCATTTGGTACAGAGGCTAAAGAGTTATAGGGGGAACTAGAACCACCATATTTCAGTGAAGGCACGACACATCTCAACTTACAACAATACCTCAAATGAAAGGTATCATTAAGTAGTATCCACCTGTACCAGCCATTTTTTTTAATTTCAACAAAAATTCCATAATGTATTGTCACCGAGATTATGAACACCTGCCAAATTTCAAGTTGATCGGAGTTATGGAGTTTTTGTTGAAATAAAAAAAAATGGCTGCTCCAAGATGGCGGACAAGATTTGGTCCGATTCCATTCAAAATTGGTGATTGGGGGTTTTTGAGGTCGGAGATCATGATTTTTTTGTTTAAATTTATAAATTCAAGATGGCGGATTCCAAATAATTTTTTGTTTTTGTATAAATGACGATAACTCCGTTGTTATCAACACAAAACTATTACTGCGACATATCATCTGTGAAAGAAAAAAAGTTATTTGTAACTAAGTCATAGTGAACTATGAACTACATTTGAAAAACTAAAGTTGGTGCTAATATCTCAAATTATAGAAGAGTTGATATAAATTACATATTTTTTCGAAATTACTTTGAAAAACTGCCATGAGAATTGGAAATTCCTATTTGAATATTTTCATAAATAAAGAAGTTACGGAGGAGACATGAAAATGATCGAAATCTGATTTTTGCGTATAAAACAAAAACGAATAGATTTCATCAATATATTTTTTCACATTATAGTTGGCCTTGACAAACTCCACATTTGGTGTCATTTAACCGACCTCGTATCTCTCATTGTTAAAAAGATACCCATGGTGAGCATGGTAAGTGGGACACACTGTATAGGTAATTGATTTTGAAATTCCATTCTGATATATTGGAACACATAATACCTTGAAATATCTCTGCATCCTGCAATAATTCATCTCAATAACAAGAATTGAATTTGAAAATCGATTGTACTATTGATCAGAACTTTCGAACATCTATTCAAATAGAATATAATTTCAACACAATACAATTCATATTTATTCGAAAATGTTTTTGTGCCACCATATGTTCGATGAAAAAAAATCCTTGTACAGATGGATACTACTAAATGAGACCTTTCATTTGAGGTATTACAAGAGAGGAAGTGCCATTTGACATTTTAAAGTTGAAGTGTCGCGGCTCAGCGGCGACTCGTGCTTTCACTAAATATGGTGGTCCTAGTTCACCCCCTTTGTGCCAATTGGCGTTTTCTAACTTTTTTATTCCGCGAGATGTTCGCATTGAAAGTTTTTAAATTTCCACCCTGTACAAAGGGTAATACAACATGCTGAGTGGCCTTACTGATCTATCGGATTTATGTAAACAACTCACTCAAGGGTAATTTCAAAATCAAATAAGTTGATATGTTTCATTCTTCTATATATTTTCAAGAATACGACGGTTTCAGTTTGAAATGATCAAACTGGCAGAAGTGCCCTTGAATGGGATATCCTTAATTGTATATTTTTTTATTTTGAGAACGATCATTCACTTCTGAATAGTGTATCTTGCTAATTTTCAATTTCTATATACTGTTTCTGATATATTCATCAATTTCCTGATATTTTCACCAAACTAGTGTGAAAAGTGACATATTACGAGCGATTGGGCGTTTCGAACGCAGGAAATGAATTTTCCAAGGAGTTTTCTACGTGCACAAATATTCAGATTATAATATACATCATAAGTATTCATGTTACTTATGTATGTTTCATGTTTTCAATCATATATTCAATCACATAGAGGTGAAGTTATGAATACTATTAGCATTTAATTCAACCTCAATATTAACTTGATATAATCAACTTGTCATCAACTCAACATTAAATTAACATTAACTTAATATCAACTTGACATTTACTTTACATTAACTTAACATTTACTTAACATCAACTCAACATTAACTTAACATTAACTTAACATTAACTAGACATTGACTCAACATTAACTCAACATCAAATTCAGAAAATTGTCAATAACCCACCATTAACCTAACTTCAAAGTAACATCAAATCAACATTAACGACTATTAGCTTAATTTTTAATCAACATTAACTTGACCTTAACTTAACATTAGCTCAACATCAGCTCGACACTGACTTGACATTAACTTATAACAATAAGTTGAAATAAATTGAACATCAAGTACTGTAAGTCTTAGTGTGATAAGAAGAATGTAGTGTGAGACTAACGAAAATAATTATAGTAAGTTCCAAAATATGATAATTATTCAGTATTACAATCAGTAGTAATACTATATAAATACTTCAAAATATTCGGGTTATACATCGATAACTGGTTGCATAATTACATAGTGTCAGTTTGACAGCAGTCAAAATAAAGGTGAAATGTCAAAGTCACTTGAACGATATCGACACTTTCGCACGTTCCTGTTCAGCGAGGGACTGAAACAGAATTAGATCAAATTGATAAAATCACTGCATCGTTCGTCTAAATTCCGAAATTATCCTTTCGTCTTGTAGGTATATATGTAGGTATCTCAGTGTGGACACTGTATGGCTTGACATTTCTCGATAAATTTATCAACCAATAATAATTGCAAACAATATCAGTAGTATATATACAGGGTGTTTGGTTCACGGACGTTCATCTGAAAAGGGGTGATTGGTAAGATGATTCTGGATTCTGAACATATAACCCCATTCATCCTTTATCACCTCATTCCAGATATACCTTGGTGAACCAATCACCCTAGGAGTGTATTCATTTCAGTTAATCAGAACTACATCAGGAAAATAGACAACAGGGTAACCTTTAAAGTTCACACAGATTTGGATGTGAAAGTAGCAAAGATTGCAGTTTTTCCGACATTATCATATGATATGGTGAGTATGGAAACCAGCAGATGTTCAAGAGTATCAGAGTGATCGCTACTATTTTGTTAGATATCCGGAACTGGAATTGAAATTTTCGATATACCACGTTGAGAAAAAAAATTCAGAAAAACCGAAATTGTGGCAACAATGTTATTATAATATGTAATTTTTGGTACACTATGTTGAAACGAGAACTAACACTGGGTGGGTCAACGAACCTATTAGACAAGTCATAACTTCTAGAATATTAGGTATATCGAAATGAGATTAGGTAAAATGGTATGTGAAGATGATATTTTTTACATGATTTCCACTTTTCGGTCACCGGAAATGACTGGTTTAGAATTTTGAAATGGAAGACCCTGTATATTGTCATATTTTTGGATTTCTGTGCCAATACTGAATCAGAATATGACAACTATTATCCATGGCACCCTTGACAAAGTTGAACGTTCGATTCGTCACAAAGTTCTTCCTTCAGAAAGTGCTTGCCAAAATATATGGTCGTCATTATTTGAAAAATAATGGTTAGACACGAAATAGTTATTTATTATACAAGGGCAAAAAGTAGTAGACTTTAGCTCCAGGTTGTGTGTTGTGTTGTCTCCCGACGCGTAGCGGAGGGAGACAAAAAACCGTGAGCTAAAATCTAATATTTTTCCCGTGTATAATACACTATTTTTTCCTCTGGCAGAAGGAAGGACGAATCAATATTGTAAAGATATTACATTATTTTGAAATCTGAAAATTATCGACGTGACATTTTGTTTTTAACAGTAGGAACACCTGCGTTGTAGGCATATTTATCATTCTTTTGAAGTAATCAAATATCTGATGTCACTTCTGTCAGTCTGATTCTGTGATTTGATTTCAAAAAATTGCGAATTTAGTGGTTGTTTAGTAATATAAGTAACCGCGAAGTAGAATGGAAGATAAAAGGACTTACAGTTCTTTCTCGGAGACGGTATTATCGACTCATTTTTTGGAACTATAGCACAACAAAAGCCATCAACAGTTTTTATTTATATGTGATATATATCTGGGAAAGAAGTACTCCTGGTCTCCTTGCATCATTATGCATGCGTCTGCTCGTCGTTTCATAGACCCACGTTCCATTATACCAGGTGTGTTTCGTAAAGCATCACATCCAGCAATGATCCATTGAGGAAGCTGGTCTTCGCTCTCTATTGGCACCGCATAAACTGAGGCCTGCAAGTGACCCCACAAAAAAAATCGATTGGATTTAAATCCGGGGACCTCGAAGGCCAGAACTGATTTGGAACTTCAGCTCCTCGGCCAATCGATCAGTAGGAGAATATTGAATGAAAGAAGAAAAATGCACTGGCGTATCTTTTCTGATATTTACTTCTTAGAGACGACTTACGAGCCCCATGGAAATAATTCAAATGCATCGATTATTTCAAATCCCAATAACTCGAAAACAGTGGCTCCCAGCAAAAGTGTTCTAGAAATCTATTTTTCTACTATAAAATGTTATACAGGTACGCACAAAAAGTTATTACTTTTCAAAGGACTCAAAAGACATGTAGGTGGCGCCACCCCCACGAAGGAGATAAACTAACATAATAATATTGTCATTGAAAAATACCCCTAAAAACCAAACTTCATTCGAATATGACCATAGAGTAGGCCCTGATATGACAATTATTTTGAAATTAAAAAAAAATAAGAATTCAACTTTGACACTCTGTACCTCAGAAACGGATAACTTTCGGACATATGTTTATTCGAACTTTTCTTCCTATTTAGACGTCAGCAACATCCTCCTAAATTTTCTGCACGTACTCAAGAAACACCCTGTATGTTCCAAAGGCATATGTAAAACATTGTGTTTTATCGGACGGCACCTCTGTGCCAATCATTATCCTGATTGAAAAATAGTACTTCCTGTGCGTTAATTTGCTCTCGATTTCGCGACCTGATAACGAGATAAGAATTATGCCATCCGATATACTAATTGAATGGTAGATCTCAGAAACCTACCTGTACCACCTCTCAATCTGAGCCAAAAAAATAGTGGTGCCCGCGAGAGTCTCGTTCTCGAGAGTCTCGCATGGTCTCGTCTCGTTTTCGAGAGTATCGCAGGTAAATATTTCTGCGTGCCGACTGCAGACTTGAGAATTGCATTCATAATACAACATATTTAGAAAGAATTCAGACTATTTAGCACAGATAGACAAGACATTTCATTCATAAATACTTCAAATACACAAGCCATGACTGTTGTAAAACGACGTAATGCGTGAAACGAAAACAGGTACGGAATATAAAGTTTATTTTATTTTTATAACTTTCGAATATATAATGCTGTTTTTTTTTCTTGTTTAAATGTATGATGTAAGTATGTACCTATTAGGTACTTACCTTTCAATAAATTATGTTATTCTTGTTTTAATTTTCTCTTCCTTCTACATTATACCTAAAAAGTAGGTAAAGGTAAATATCCCGTACTTGACTGGTAGAAGATTATGCATGACGAAATCGCGATACATTTGCGAGACTCTCGTACGGGACGCGAGACAAGACGAGACTCGTGGCTGCGAGACGAGACTCGAGACAAGACTTCATATATATTTCATCGGCGAGACGAGACTTTATGAAAGTCTCGTCTCGTTGGTCTCGTATGAATCACTACAAAAAAATTTGCTGCTGTTATTCCGGACATACTTCCGTCATGTGAAAGGTTAAGGTTATTTGAGCGCTTAATCTCAAATTCAATCGTATCGTCTGATCCAACGGATATAGGTACCCTCTTGGTAAAATCTATAAATAATTGATGTTCTTACAGTTGAAATCCATCTTGGATTCATCCATTCGAGGCTTAGTACTCGAAACCTATGGAACTGGTAATCTTCCGTCCCAAAGAACTGATTTGATAGGGTTACTCAAGAAGGCAGTAGACAAGGAAATTTTAATAATTAATGTTACACAATGTTCCAGAGGAATGGTCGGAGACGCCCTCTATGAAACTGGAAAGGTTGGTAGAATATTTCAACACAAAACACAACACCCTTAGAAAATTTACATGAAAATAATTCAGTCATATCAATTAATTCGAAACATCTTCGAGGACGCCATTTATAACAATTTCAATTTTCTTATACGTGAATTGTGACTGGTTGAGAGGTAACTAAAATATCCAACAGCAACCTATAAATCTGGCCCTAATTTAAGGTTGAAAGCGAGAAAGTAATCAAATTACACTTGTCAGATTTTTCATAACACTGGCAGACGACCATCAGATTATTCATTCACATTGCTGCTTTTAGTGCTTTTCATGTTCATCGGGGTAATACGAAACCAACGTCAGATGCTCCAATTCCAATTTACAGGTGTTTCACGGTGGATGGAACATAAGACGTTTATATCTGAAGAACCGAACGATAGATCAATAAGATCATTCCGAAAATTTGTCAACGTGAATAATCAAGCATGCTCTATCCATCTAAAATATTTTTGACAATGCGGTGTTGCCACTGCTTCCATCAATGGATATCACTTGGCACTTGGGGTCTAACAGGAATGATTACAGAGATATATAGGGTGTTCAAAATCGAGATTTCACAACTATAGAATTTTCTTGTATCGAAACAATGCATCATCGGTCGAAACGACTTCCATGTCCCTATGTTAAGGTTTGATTTACTATCTTCTGACATTTAATTGGAACAAATACAGGGTGGTTCAAGAATCATAATTCTCATCACGCTATTGCTACTACTTTCTAGCATTCTCAACAATATTTTAGACAAATTTTCGAACGTTCAATGTTCCATTCACCGTGAAACAACTCTGTTTTTTTTTCCAGATTGCAGATGAAATTGGAATTATTGCAGGTGAAGATATTACCGGAGAAGCTGCTCTTGCTAAACTATCGTATGTTTTGGCCATTCCTAAGATGACATATCAGCAAAGAGTTGAGGTAATAAATGAATAAGGTCGCAGGCTTCAATCCAGGATACACAAAATTCGCATAACGGCAACATAGAATTACGCAATAAAGTTGAAATATCCATACTTCATTATAAATTCGCATTGAGAGTTCATAGAAATGTGTGTTCTATCCGATACTGGTGATTTCTATTCGTATTATCACATTTGAATTATAACCGATACCTATAGGAGCAGGGCCATCTTAACCACAAGGCACGCGAGGCACGTGCCTTGGGGCCTCGGCCTCAGGGGGGCCCTGTACTAGTCTCAAATTGTTGCTTTTTTGGTGCTGATCATGATTATTCCAAATGTTCATTGTAATCGAAATTCAATACCTTCATTATATATGTTGAATTTGTATGAAACAATTTTGATTCAAACGGCTTATTATTCATTTTCGATTACCCGCGTCAGCCTACCCGACAGTTATTTTTCCGACTGTATATTATGTGGTAGGACAACATCCAAGCTCCGTATATCCAATTGGTATCCAACATGTTCGCGTATTTTCGTATTTAATTCGAGTCGTTAGGTAGGAGTAGGAATTACACATCAATAAACAATCATGTTCAAAAGGCAATATATAGAGTGGGAGTGAGTAAACATAATTTTCAAAATGGATGTTGGAGAATAATAATTTGCATTCGCCCTTAGGACATGAGATACTAAATTCTTTGGCACTTTTGTCTATCGAAAATGAAATTAAAAAAAAAAAATTCGAATCTAAAACAACATGTTTAGGGTATTTTGCTCTGTATTTCACTGAGAACTTACTTATTTACTATATTTACGAAACCAGTTCTGTGTTTTACGGGATCTCGCTTCGCTCGTCCATCAAAATCCCATCGTCACACAGAATGACGCGTTTCCTAACTATAGTTACGCGCCCACAATATTTTTTTCTAATTTTGATGAAAAATTTCGCTTGAACAGAAATTATTACCTCACAAGTCAGCGATGAAATAAACGAAATTGACTCGTTTGATATGTTAGTGAAAAAATGGCTGATACAAGTTCAGATTTCCCAAGTGATATCGAGGAAGTAGCACAAAAATTCACTATTTTCTATGTCCTTCCATAATTTTTATTCCGTAACTGGTGTTGAAATGAAAATTTTATCACTAATTATGTAATATTTTACTTTTCTCGCTACTGACGGAAGTTTTGGGACGTCTTATTTCACGTAACTATTTGCTTAATGTAAAAAAAATAAATAACTGGTTATGAAATGTTCATTTCAACACCAGATATGTAATAAAAATATGGATGGATGGACGAAGAGAATTATGCATTCTTGTTTGACGGATACTTCAAAGTGACGGGCGGAGTCAACTTGCTTACTAAATTCTGTACATAATCGGCAGAACTCATGTTAGACTGGTTATAATTTATGTTCAAGCGTAATTTTTCATCTTAAAAAAAATATTGTATGTAACACGTTAGGAAACGCATTTTGTGTAACGATAAGGCATTTTGCGGAACGAGCGAAGCGAACTGCGGTTACGTATCATCTTCAATATAATAATATGTAGTGGTTAGTTCCATAACCACCTTGAAAATTATTGTTATCGAACCGAGAAGATCCTTGAACTTTTTCCAACTGAATTATAGTGTGTTCGTATTGGTTATAGACAAAAATATTTAATAATATTATGTGTGGATACCCCATTGATGGTACGCTTTCGAATAACGAATAACGTCATATAGTACCATTATGGAACAATTCGAAAAAATGGAGTTTCGTGTAAAAAATACGCTTGTTCCACTTCTTTGGCACGTACATCGAACCACAATAGGCATCTACTATTTTAATCGAAAATGCGATATAGTCTAGCATTTATTTGATCATTTGGAATTATTCTACTATAAGTTCATGGCTCTGAAGTTTCATTGAATTCAGATGATTCCAAAGATTTTAAAAATTTACTAGTATAATTCGATACATTCCTTTGGAGATGTGAAAGGGGAGGTGGTAGAGTGAATTCATCTCTGATATGCATTATGCAAAAGTTAATATTTTTTGTGATATTTAGATTTCTCTGTTTTTCTCCAAAAGGTAGACCTGATGGTTTGAATGTTAATATCCCGAAAATCTGCCGTACATTTTTCCAACCTCTCGACTAGAATACATGGTCACTATGATCTTATTTTTGGTATGAAAAAATTCCAGAAATAACTTCGATGATAGATAAATTGTAGATAAAAAGTCGTATTTTTGTTTGTGAATTGTGGATTTTCACACTTTCTAGCGGATATTTTCTGAAAAGTCTCTAAGCCACATTTGTCAACAATTTTTTAAAACCTCCTTAAGGCAATAGCTATCTAACTGGACACACCATGGGAACACCTGTTGTTGTCGATGAGGTTCTTCCAAATCAAGCTCCACATCTGATGGAGCTGTAAACCCCTTGAATTGCGATGGGCTTTGGGAGCTAATAAGCCGCTGTTGAAGGAACGGAATAAGGATGATGCCGGCGGTGGTCTGTGCTGACCGTTCTGTTCTGAGATACATCCATATCTGAAGGGCAATATTAACGATGATTAAAATACTAGAGTGAGAACTCTCAAACGCGACTTTTTCTCAATCGGGGATCGGATGTCAGTCACATACTCGACAAGGTGGTGCGACACCAAAATTATTTTAGATATGGGCACCCCATGTAAACCCATTTTATTTTTTCAATCCAAAACCGTTTTGTCTAACGAAAAAAAGTCAGGGGGTTGTTTTTGTTAGCAACTAATAAGAGATTACAAATCTGATTTTTATTTTGATAAAAAACAGTGGCGTGCCATTTTTTAATGTAATAAAATTATATTATGGTCAATATCAACGATTCAAAAAAAGGTAGATGATAAATTATTTTCATTTAATTATGGAGCAATTTATCCTCTTTCAAAACGTAAGAGAATTTATATACCATTACATTTGATTTTTTTGACAAGAACTAAAAAATTTGCTAACATTTCAGTTAACGCGGCAAATAAGCGTTTTGTAGGGCAAATTATGCTCTTTCATATCACCCTGAGTTTGCTAAAATCGGTCGAAATAAACGGGAGAAATCTTGGTTTGTTTGAAAAAACAATTGAACTTCCCCCACCGCTTTATTTTGATAGCTAATGCTAGAACAAAACGTTTCAGACAAAAAATGTAGGGAAATGGTCAGTAAATATGAAAATGATATCATCGACATACTTTCATAAGACAAAATTCGATAAAAATCCCATTTTTCTACTTGGTGTTGGTTGTTACGCCCTCTAGCGGACGTTTGACAAACTCGAAAATAATTTCCAGCAATTTCTCTTGGCGACTTCTATCATTTTTTTGTTCTCAAATCTATTCGACCAATATCTTATGTGATATGGCTGCTCGCTACCCTTAACTGATCACCCTGTACAATTTTAGGTTTCTCTAAAATCGAACCCGCAACACATATATATCGTTTTTTTGATAACTCCTTCAGTTATTTAGATAGCCCATGAAAACACCCAATTTCGCCCACCCTGTACAGCAGTTTTTTCGTGGAAACTAACTTTTAAACCTTTTAAAGCCTACCATTTGGAGATAAACAGCAAAATTCAAATATCTCAGAAACTACTAACTTTTGCATAATGCATATAGGGGGTTAAATGTATCGAATTACCTGTATCCCTGTATAATAATATACAGGGTATTCGATTTTGAAATCGGAATCGCCATTTCCGAAAAACCGGCAGTTGATTTTTAATTTCAAATACGTCAAAATATGTCGTCCAGTATTTATATTCAATGTTCCAAATTTCAAGAATACATCTATAGAAATGAAGGAGAAATAATATGAACCTCTGTCACACGTATACCAGTGAGTTCGGTAAACAATGGAATAAATTAATTTTCAGCCAAACTACACTCAGTTCCAAAAAAAACTGACGCACTTGATATTTGACCTATCTTCTTAAAATAAAAATAGGCCTGAAAAAATGAAGAGGTGAACATTTTTCAAAGCCTCCTTGATGGTGGTGGAATAACTTGAACCATGATTTATTCGTAATTTTTGACTCACCCTGTGTGTTAATTGAGTAATGGCATAGAAAGTGCTTGCACCCTATACGAAAGAGGCTTCTTTTGCGAGCATTTTGTTTTTTTATTCATTGATTTGTCTGTAAAATTTTCCGAATTACAGCTTTTTTGCTAATACCTTAACCTTATCCCACAAATTAAATTCATTGAAGGATCAGAGTACTCAAAATTCATTGGGTTGTACTCTGGAAGGATCACATTGTCTTAAAAAAAAACAAATGCCGTTGTCATAGCAACTAATTTGTTGTATGCTTCCATATTTGACCATTTGTCGTTGATTAGTTGCGTTAGTAACGATGGGCGTAGTAAACGCTCGTGCAGTGGGAGTTCATGAAGCAACTGCTCGTAGAGCTATCCGCAAGTACGAACAAACAGGAAGCACCTTTCGGAGGGTCGGTTCTGGTCGCCCCCGAAAAACTTCTCCAAGAAATGATCGCTTCTTGAGATTGCGGATTTTACGGAATCGATCAAATACTGCGGTAAATGTTCAGCAAGATCTTCGCCGAATTCGTGATGTTGCAGTAAGTAAGCAGACGGTATGTAGACGTCTAGAAGAAGTTAATTTAAAAGCTAGGAGACCTGCAAAAGGTCCCAAATTATTTCCCGAACATCGTGCTGCTATAAGAAATTTTGTTGAAAATTATGGACAGTGGAATATTCCTGAATAATCGAATGTCTTGTTTACGAATAAGTCAAGGTTTTGCCTTGACATGGTGGATGGAAGAAAAAGAGCGTGGAGAAGAACTGGTGAACGGTTTATATAAATTTAATAACAGAATGCGAAAGTTTTAATGGTGGGTCCGTTATGGTATGGGGAGGGATTTCAATGAATGGAAAGACAACCCTTCATGTTTTTCCGGTGAGGCAGTCGATGAATGCCCAAATTTACATTGACATTTTAGAGCAGTATGTCTTACCTTATGCAGAGTTAGTGGGCAATAATTTTATATTGATGCAGGATAATGCCCGACCACACACCGCAGCAATAGTGCGAAACTTCTTAGAAGCTACTGGTATTACCACATTACAATGGCCTGCGAGAAGCCTCGATATGAATCCTATAGAACATTTGTGGGATGAATTAGGAAGAAGGGTACGTTCTCGCGAGAGGTCTCCGGAAAGTCTCGCAGAAATGGCAGATGCATTAGTGAAAGAATGGGATCGTATACCAATGGAAACGATAAGCAACTTAATTTCCAGTATGATTCGTAGATTAAAAGTTCTAGAGGAGGCAATACACGGTATTAAGCAGTCATCCCAATTCATAATTTTGTGTTTAAAAAAAATATTTCTTTAAATTATTGGTATCAGTTTATTTCATTAGAAAATTGTTTCTCGATAAATTCAGAAAGTTGGTAATTTGCAAGGATTCAGCAAAAAAAGCTGTAATTCGGAAGATTTTAGAGATAAATCAATGAATTAACAGAATGCTCGCAAAAGAAGTCTCTTTCGTATAGGGTGCAAGCACTTTCTATGCCATTACTCAATTAACACACAGGGTGAGTCAAAAATTAAGAATAAATCATGGTTCGAGTTATTCCACCACCATCAAGGAGGCTTTGAAAAAATGTTAACCTCCTAATTTGTTTTTTAAAGACAAATGCATTACCTACCAACAAATGAAAAAAAAATTTAATCAGCCTACTATTTTTTTTTTTCAAGAAGATAGGTCAAATATCAAGTGCGTCACTTTTTTTGGAACTGAGTGTATTTATTTCTGGGGAATCTCCTGAAAGATGTCCTTCTTCAATTTCAATTTGCTACATTTATACAGGAAAATTCAATATAGGGGTGGAACACGTTTGTGTAACAACGTCTGCTCATTTTTTTTCAAATAGAACACCCTATATGTATACATGCAATTCAAAAAATTTAATATTATAAATAGAATATTATGATGGATCGAACCTAAATGATTTCAATTGAAAAATAAACATAAAAAGAAAGTCCACATGACCAGGTGACTTGTATGTGGCATAAATCGAAGAGTTACTAACACTTCATGTAAATAATATTCTTGCATGATTTACTATAGGAGTACTGTAAGAGCAATTATTGATTTTTCATTTTCAATTTCTATTTGATTCAATTTGAAAAATATGGTTAGAGCACAATATGTTAAACAACAGGGCAAATCATCCCGACTGCTCAATTTATTCTATTAAGAATTTTTGAAATCTACAAGTTTGTGAATTGCTAGTCGAGATTTTGCTTTGATCCATTTTGTGATATTTTTCTTGAATAAACTAAGCGAATTCGATGTTTTGTTATCATGAGGTAACTCGTTGAAAACTTTGGGTCCAAGATAATAATAGCACCTTTGACCTATCGTTTTGTTTGCTCTGGGAATAATTGATGATCCTTGTTTATATCTAGTAGTTCTAGTACCTACCGTAGAGGTGATCAATATATTATAAAATTTTCGATGGAAAACTGTACTCAAAAATATTTCATCCATTGGGGTTTGTATACAGTGCGTCCGTTAAATTCAGTTCTCATGTAAAATGGGGTTGTCATTAAAAAAATACCAATGATGTCATTTCCCCTACACGAATCATGCTGAATGAGTATGTTAATTGAAATTGAAAAAATGCCTAAACAAAAGTAAAATTCGACGTTGAGTGGTTTCGCCAAACATTATTTCTTCAATTTCTTACGAGAGCACTGAATTTAACGAACGCACTGTATAATAACTCTATGCATGATATATTTTTGTATGCAACTTCCCATGGAGATTTCGGAAATTGAATAATATATAGGGTGTCTCGTTTGAAAAAATTGTCGCGGACGTCATTACTCAAACTATCAGCCCATTTATTTAATTTTTCCGTATGAATGCGGCACATTCAGACTGAAAATCGACCTGTCTCAGTGAATTTCCCAGAAATAGATAGTTTGGCTGAAAATGAATTCATTCCATACTATACTGACTCACTGTATGTTATCTTAGGTCCTTTATGGATATCCTGATTCAAAATATTTTTTTTTAGAAAATGAAAGCCAACTTGAGAGGAGAAATTACCATACCTACTATGGCCGTATAGTCTTCAGGTTATGATAACAGAAAGGATCGAAAATTTCCTATAGGAAGGGCAAGCAAAACTTATTATAGATATAGATATATAAATTTTAATGTTATATTATTATTAGAAATGACTATATTTTCATGAATAATAGATAAGTAGCAAAAGTTAATAGTTTCTATAGAAATTGGCCATTGGAAGGTCCACATTAGGCGTATATTTACGGAGTAGTTATACAGGGTGACAATTTGAACACTATATCATCAAGACTCAATATTTCTTTAAATGATGAAAATTTGGCGAACCACGTCAGTTTATACATCAAGGAGGACAACTATCGGAACATTTGTTGTTACATTACATTCAACCCCTTTACCGTCGGGGCAGCAACCTACCCCTGAAATTTTAAATCGCAACCCCCTATTATATTGCTATTTTTGAAATCCTCGTGATTCCAGATAAGTTACACCTATTTTAAATTTGTATTTTCAAAATTGCAGTACTCAACTTCAAGAATATTTGGATTTCTTTTTTATGAGCAAAAGTACAGGGTGATTCACCATAAATGTCCCCCCCTCTAGCTCAGTTATTTTTGTACAGATTTCAAAGTTTGAAATATCATCTCAAATGATTTTCGATAAAGTTTTTTTCCGCTACATCAAAAAATACAGGGTGCTCGGAACAAATGATCTACAGGGTACTATTCGATTTTTTTTAATGGAACACCCTATTTTTCATTGTATTTTTAGATTATCCCTGAAGAGCTGATTTGATCAATGCATCACACTTGGGGTCTAGCAAGAATGATTACAGAGATATAGGGTGTTCAAAATTGAGATTTTTCAACTTTAGATTTTTTTTTAGACGAAACTATTCATTATCGGTCAAAACGGCTTTCATGTCCGTATCTTAACGTTTGATTCACTATCTACTGACATTTAATGATTGGAACAGATACAGGGTGATCAGAATTATGAATCTTGAACCACCCTGTAAATGTTCCAATTAAATGTCAGTAGATAGTGAATCAAAATTTGAGATGGGGACATAGAAGCCGTTTTGACCAATAATGAATAGTTTCGACACAAAAAAATCTTAAAGTTGAAAAATTTCGATTTTGAACACACTATATTTCTGTAATCATTCCCGCTAGACCCCAAGTGTGATGTATCTATGAAATTAGTTCTTCAGGAAGAATCTAAAAACACAATGAAATACAGGGTGTTCCATTTGAAAAAAATCAAGTAGTACTCTGTAGATTGTTTGTTTCGAGCACCCTGTATTTTCTGATGCAACGGGAAAAAAAATTCTGAAAAATCATTTCAGATTATTTTTCAAATTTTTAAATCGGTTCAAAACTGAGTGAGCTAGAGGGGGGGAACTTTAATGGTGAATCACCCTGTACAGCCAATATTCAAACTGTTCGTGCTTACAAAACAATAAAGAGGTATATGTATATATTATTGTTTTCATCATCATAATGAATTTCAATCCAAAAATTGGTGAGGTTGATTGAAAGTATGTGTAACTTATCTGGAATCACATTAATAATCAGAAAATAATTTCAATAAAATATAAACATTATATAGAAAATCGTTAAAAGTACTGTACCGTCTCCCATTTGGTACAACCAATCAGTTGTATGAAATAACAAATACGTATTCTTTAGATAAAATATATGGAATTGCAAATTTCATATAATATCATAAATAAAAAATGTAAGTCGAATATTATTTTCATACGGATAATGGATTCAATAAACTACCTACCAATATCAGAAACTGCAGAAATATAGGTACATTCAAAAATAAAGTAAAGAAACTGATTATTTCTGATCGAACTAGATAAAATTAGTCATGTTATTTATATAGCAATATTTCTTCTACAAATATTATTGATTCTTTGTTTGCCAATTTATAGTTGTTGATGTATTTTTTGAATGATGAAATGTTCACCAATAGGTATATAATTGTATACTTATCCTCTTACCAAGGCCTATTCTCTCTGGAAGGTATTTGTCCAATAAATAAATAAATATAGGTATATAATTGTATACTTCCTCTTACCGAAGCCTATTCTGTCTGGAAGGTATTTGTCCAATAAATAAATAAATGAATGAATAAATAAAAAATTTCAAAAATAGAAAAATAATTGGAGGTTGCCATTTAAAGTTTCAGGGGTAGTTGCGGGGTAATTTCCCTGACGGTGAAGGGGTTGAATGTAATGTAACAACAAATACCTCAAAAGTTGTCCCCCTTGATGTATAAATTGATGTTTTTCGACAAATTTTCATAATGTCGTTTTCAAATGGTCACCCTGAATAGAGGATGACAGTTCAGTATTATATCACATCTATAGGTAGGTTCTCGCAGCACAAGCAACATGTTATAATATTTATTCGAAAAGTTTTAAAATATTGTTATGAATGCATTGATCCGTTACCACCGATACAAATCGGTGGTAACGATTGATCCCAGTATACCTTGAAATCTATTCATTCGCAACAATGCAAATTTCTGACTCATTGAGTAGTGACAACCTCTTGAAAGAGTACTTTATGTGAGATCGTTGTAATTTCCTATCTAAAATAAAACAACCTATCTAATAGAAAACTCTGATGAAGCCACTTTATTTTCTGTTCCTCGGTAGATTAATTTATATCAAACAAGTTTTGGCACCATTTTTGGTATTTTGGTACAAAAATATCGGGGCATTTGATGATATGAGTTGAATTCTACAACTGGAAGATGTTCAGCTACAAGGGCGAATATCTCCGAAAAAGACCGACTGGGGAAATTATTAGACCCCCACTATTTATTCTCATATTAAACGCATCCTATTGATACTCCTATTTTTTCAAATAATATTCATAATATCAATTTATACTGAGAGGTAGTAATAAAGGATATCATTATTGCCGAGGGACCAATAAGGATTATATTCCGAGGCTTATTAAGCTGAGAGTTATTTTAAGCATTTTTAGGAAAGGTTCCGTGGTGATAATATTCTTTAATACTAATAAAGGTGGCTATTGACTTTTTTCACCACTATTAGAAAATATATTTCAATCATTATTATAGTTCTGTGAATCTGGAATATGGATCTATGTCACTATGGAAGCACTTATTTTCAATTTTAATTAAAATTTATTGGCATGACCATGACAGTATGTGACATGTCCTTATTGATAATTATCTATCAGATACTAGAGTGCCATTCCTGCGAGTCTCGCATCAGAAAATTAAATTGGGGTTGATTTTATAACTTCATAACAGAGGTGGCTATGTCTTTATTGGCCAGTAGTTCATAAAATTGGTAGGAAAAACACTTTACGCCGTGAAAAAGCCAAAAATAATGGTAGGTCGTATAGCTAGTGGTGAAAAAACGGTAGTCTGACGGAAGTAGAATATACAAAGAACGTTTTCAATCAACTGTATTTGTTTCAGCTGATCATTTATTCTTGATATGAAATATATTTTATATGTAAATATATATATATATTTAATTAGAGTAGGTATATTGTTTATTATTTGATTGATCAATATTCAAAAATCTATCTTTTATATAGATATTTTAAGTCATCCTTACCTATAACCTATAATAAAATCCATATGTTAATGAATACAAATGAAAAGTTGTGTTATTACCCAAATGTACCTACCTACTTTATGTTTTCAAAGGACAGAATTAAGTGTATATCAAGTCACATAAAGAGTATTCTTTCTATGTCAAAACAAGACTTTCAAGTACAAATTTCCTGGACTAAATGGATTACATTTCTTTATGCTATACTTATATGTATAATGAAATGGATCTTTCAAAATCTTTCTCAGTATAATGATTAGGTATCAGAATGGAAGACTATAGGCAACAATGCAACGTCTTTTATCAACATATTTGCCGCTTCCGGTATTATTTATTGTATGGCACATGACACATATTGGGTTGTAGTGATACAATAGATCTATGACTATAGTATATGTGATAAACGTGTATACAAGATCCAATATCGTGATTGACCTCCTTGTCAAGCTTAAATCACATAACATATAATGGTCTGACAATAACAGTGATAACCTATTTAGTGAGCCCCAAAAGAAAAATGAAAGAAAACAACACAAAGTCAGTCGACCACACTTCATATAAAAAACTTTCTTAAAAAGTTAGCGGTTTCGGCACTATGGCCATCATCAGACAATGGTACCTTGAATAATATTATGGCAATAATGAGGACAACATTTATAAATATTTTCCGTCTTTGTGTTGTTTTCTTTCATCTTTCTTTTTAATTACATTGGACCACTTTGAGATATGGGTGATTTTCATTATTTATTTAATGAGTGTTCACAAGAATAAGACAAACATATAAACACGGCTAACAAAACATATCCCTCTCAAAGACCCAAACCATTCCCAAACGATGTACCTAGGCGCTTTTTTATCGCGAAGACTTCTCCTGGATCAAAACTATAATAAAATCGATTAAAAAAAGAAAAAAAAAACCATTCTCCATATTGCTGTAGTTTGTAATTTCTGTATAGATCAGTGCGTTTTTTCCAGTTAACTTGTGATTCAATGAACCCATTATACTTTGTGAATATATAGAGGGCTAGAAGTAATCAACTTAATTCCAAAGTCTTCCGCTAGGTTTTTGTACTTAATGTCTGTAAATTGACCACCATTACGACTTATGGAATGCCATGACGTGCAATTACTGGTTATTTGTGTAAAATTACACACTCATTCAACATCATTTTTAATTTTGCGATGTCGATATATCTCGAGTAATAATCCGCCATCATCAAAGTACCATCTTCCTCCATACTTGAACAAATCAAGGCCAACAATAACTTTGAATTTGAACCAATTCATCATACCCTAAAATTATTTTTGCACGCTTTATACACATTGCAAAATCATTAATTAGATCAGTTTAGGTTTAATATGTTAGCAGCTTCACTAATCATAAATATTGCAATCGCTCTTGCCCTATTTGATTCGTTGAATAGTTTTTGATAAGTTTACATTTATTACTAACTCCTACCTAATCGGCGAATGTCGACTGCTGTTGCAACGCTGACGGTCAACGTCGTGATGGTCGCAACCAAAACTAAAGCAGAACATAATGAAATATAATGTTCGCTTTATAGACATAAGTAAGTTCCTCTAAGATTCATTTGAAGAACAAACTAACTACAAAATTCGGAACTGCTTCAAATATTCGCTTATTTAAGTTTTTTATGGGAATAGAGAATGATTAGTTCAACGAGTAGGTCCCCCAAGCTTGGGGGCCCCAACGCATTGCGTTCACTCGTCTTATGCTAGTTACGCCACTGGAAACGGTATCAAGTTGCACAAAGCGTTCGTTTGGAGCCCACTTAGATCACGAATTTACCGCTAACGGAAGTTTGGACAATACGAACGGCATGCTGGTGTCATAGTGATCTAAGGTGCCATGGTGCCATATACAAGCGTGTGCCGTGTGACGAGAGCCTAAAGTTTTCGAACCACTCCCAAACCAACTCCCAAACCGTTGATTAATACCTCAATCAACGCCCAAACCTCATCCTCAGATAGTCAGATTGGCTATAGTTAATCTCGTGATAGACTATGGACGCATACGCATTCGCTCGTAGAAAAAAGAATTATCAACGAGACCCTCGGGCCTCGAGGTTTCGGGAGGAAGGAAAAACATCCTTGAAAGCCTATAATCTCTACACAATTGATCACTGCGGGCTGACGCCATGCTATTAGTGGACCAGAATAAAATTCCCTGGCCAAACAGCCTCCACAATTACATTACGAAAAATAATAATAAAACAAACACGAATCTCAACATAACACGTGATGGGAATGGTTCGAAAGATTTAGGTACTTCTGCCGTGTGCCACATCCATGCTACATTGAGATCATTGGTCATATGCAATGGCCACATCACTGCCAGCAGTGCCAGCCATACAGGTGTTTATATTGAGTTCATTACCAATCATGTGCCATACACATCACATTCCATTAATCATAGCACAGCCACATAGAACTAAATATTATTTCTGTGCACAGCCACTAAGCTGTGATAAGATTGAATTGGAAGTGTCCAACCTGCCGACCGGACGGTAAATCAACCGCTAGGCTATACTACAGACAATAGATAACCGTAGACTACTAAAGATGAAACGGACTATCATTTCTCTCATCTCGCTGTAGTAGGTATTTCATGGTATTTCTTCGCTCGCAACCTGAGCTGCGTTTCAAAAATGTGTCCAACGTCCGACAAAGGGTAAAAAGATGACGTCAGAAGTATTCAGGAGGATCACGTCCGTTGATATCGATTTTGGAACGTCTATGCCAAAGGAGAGAGAATATTATGTCAAACCTAATTTTTTTTAGCAGAAGTTTTGAAGTTTTGGTATATTTTATTTTTCATTGAAATGAAGCAATAATGGAGACAGTTATATTTGGGTCCTGCAGTTTTCTCTATAATTCATTTTTTCACGATGACAGTGGTTTTTCTTCATCGGTTGAGGAAAAAATAATTGATATACAAAGGGGTGTCAGAAAGATTTATCAAGAATTCGAAACTTTTCGAAAACCTAATTCCAGGAAAACAATTTCAATCATCATATTTTCGTATAACTAGAACTTTCTTTGATCGACTATAATGGGAGTGGTAGGATCCAAACTGAGTGGAAAAGAGGAAGATAATAGATTAATGCTGAGAAAGAAGTATCCGTTATTTGGTTACAGTTAGGTACAATATTAATGTGACTTGATCAGCGAATTACATTTTTAATTTTCAGAAGACAAACTTCTTTATTCTGTTCTATTATTATTTATTTATTTATAATTAGAGGTATCTCAAAATTGAAATGAAAAACTTATTGGTTTTTGATAATCAAGAAGTTCTTTAGTAAAAAAATGTAATATTATATAGTGAAGAAGTCAAACACGCGATCCTATCAATGAACTCATTTACATTCAGTTCATTGGATCCTGTTGACAAGCCAATGCCCAATGCATTTTTGTTCATTGCGAGCTCTCTTGTTTTACTGTACTCTTGAATCTTGAATCTAGAAGTGTTTAGGTAATACCATAATGTTATAACAGAAATGACTGTGTGTATAATATAATAGTATAGATTGTTTTATTAGGATCAAAGGTGACGCAAAATTCGCTTGTCAAACAAAGTCTGCACTATATTGACAGATTATAAAAATATGAGTAATTATACATAGACAATAAAATGCCTCAGACTACTTTACTGTGTTACAATTTGTGTTCAGATGCATCATATCAACAGCAGAGATTATACACTCCCCCATAATCTCTGTCAACCATAGAAATAGATCAAAATGGTCGCTATTCAAATTTCAAGGATGTTCGAATTGTAGTTTCAATATGAATATTACAAATTGACTATGTAATTGTGTTTTAGTTTCTTGTTGAATATATACTAAATAATAACCTCTATGTTCTTTATTCTTGATGACCTAGTACATCCTTTTTAGTTCCTAGGAGTTAAAGTTCAACTTTAGCTCCTATATAGGAACTAAAATAAGTGTTGCCTAGCAACATATAGGTACCTATTTTTGTGTCAGTAATAAAAACATCAACTCCAAAAGTTAATTTTGGAATGAATATGGACGACTTTTGAGTCGGTTACATAAAAAATATAATCTACTGAGTGGTCAATTTCGTCTAGCCTAGTCAATAATAGGCTTCCGAACGGTCGGCATGCTATACACTACTTTAAAGATTTATCTGTTTTTTATTTAAACATTTTATAAATAAATATTTTCGCCAGCTGATAAATTGTTATTATTATAAAATTATTATTTGTCTTTTTTATCAGCAGTGAATAGAACCGTGTGGTACATTATCCACTCTGATATTCGTACATTTGAGATATCTCAGACCTTTGCACTTAGATTAGACCTTTGAGACATATTATTATAGTAGGTACTAAGATCGGTAAGTCTGTCAAGTCTCAATTTCAATACCTACTAGTACCACTAAGTACCTATACTCTAACGAATCTGACCTGAAGGACTACACTATCGTTTGAAGCAAAACTAAAATACCCACAATGACTTCCTTAGTTAAAGGTGAGTGAACTTCAAATTTCTACTAGAGAGACAGTATTTCTTTTTAATAATAATTTGATCACGCGAAAGGATAATATCCCGAATTCCCTGGGTATATTTTGTACATATAATATCATGTGATGTTTTTTTTTAATTATTTTTGTAACCCTCTCTCATTTTCGTCTGAAGAAAGCAACATTTAAAATAAAAATGAACAAACCACCATTTATCCATATATTTTCTCGAAAATGTTCGAAATGTCACCTTATTCATTATTTTTCCTCGTATTTTTCCTTCCGCCGGTACTTTCCCTTCTATTTTCATCATCGGAAACTTAATATCTATATATAGGGTGTATTTGGATCTATGCCTAGGGCTAGGTATACTTACGATCTACACATTTCATAGCATTTTATAAAGGAAACGAAATTCAACAAAAAAAAATAGTAAGGTAGGTATTCATTATACAAGGGAAAAGAGTATTTTATATATTAGCTCCAGGTTGTGTTGTCTCCCGACGCGTAGCGGAGGGATACAGAAAACCAAAAGATCTAAATTCCAATATTTTCCCCTGTATACTTACCTACCTAATAGATACACTGTTTTTTTCTGTGACAGGAGAAACGACGATTCAGTATTGAGATTGAGAAGATGCCTATTATATATTATATAAACATATCAATGTGGAATTTTACACCTGTGAATGCAGATTGCAGATATCTTTTGAAAGCATCTTATTGTTGCTATGAAAACCTTTTGAAGTAGGTAATCAAATATGTGTCATTTTAATTCTGTGTTTTGATTTTAAAAAATTGCGAACAGGTTCTGTAATTTATTAGTAACCAAGAAGTGGAATAGAAAATAAAAGGACTTTCAGTTCTTTCTCTGAGAAAAGTACGTATATAGGTATAGGTATAGCTGCACTGCTGATGGCTTTTGTTGTGCCAGTTCCGAAAAATACACCGTCTCCGAGAAAGAACTGAAAGTTCTTTCATCTTCCATTCCACATCGCGGTTACGTAAATTACTAATCAACGAAACAACCACTGTTCGCAATTTTCAAAAATCGAAACACAGAATTAAATTGACACAAATGATTGACGCATAGGTATTGGATTAGTATTACAGAAGACTTCCATAGCAACAATAAAAATGTACTACCAGTTGAATTCTTCAAATTTCACAACGATAATTTTCTGATTTTATTATAATATATATCTTCTCAATACTAATTGGAGTTTTTTCCTGTCACAGAAAAAAAAATAGTGTATTATACACGAGAAAATATTATATTTTAGCTCTCGGTTTTTTGTATACCTTCGCTACGCGTCTACTTTTTCCCTCGTATAATGAATAACTATTTTTGCGGTTTTTCCATGCTTATATAGTGAACAAATCACATACTGACATCCTTCAAATAACTAATCATCAACTAATCTCTAATCAAATAAATAAAATCAAGTAACATCAAGCAATCATATTCATACCCATACGGGCATACGCCTATACAAGTTATAGCTCCCAGCTCACAAGTCTCAGCTAGCTAGAAGCTACAGTAAGATGGTTACAAGTGTAGCCATCTTAGGCCAAGGAGAGTATATCTTAGGCTAGAGCTACAGTTGACGAGTCAGACGAGACGAGTGAGAGTGACGCAGTGTTGCACGGCACACTATCTGTTCGATTCACTTGAGTTCATAGAATATTCAACAATCGATTTGACACCGTTGAGACCGTTCATGAATTTAAGGCGTTGTTGAATATTCAAGATGAACTGAAGTAAATCGAACAGATAGTGCGTCCGCAAACTTTATTGTGACAAAAATTAATATCAAATAAATAAATACTTTTCGAATCCTACTCATTAATAAGAATAATATTTTCAGAGGTTAGAAAAAAAGATTCAACAGTATACGATTCAACACCTATACCGGGTGACACAGGGTATCGGGCCACCCCTGTAACTTCTGCATTCGTGAACGGATTTTTCTGAAATTTGGTACAGTTATATAAACAGACCATTTCGAATGTGGTCACATTACAATCCAATGTGACGGACTTCCGGTTTTTCTGGAAGTGCCAGCAACATTGTTTTTTTGAATAGAACACCCTGTATATTTTTATATATTCAACTTCAACAGGTCAAAACGAGTGCAATCTTCATGTGAAATGTAATTTTTTCGAAAATGTTGAAATTGAAATTGTTATTTTATTTTGCCTCCTAGATAAATGAGATGTGGTCAATGCTATTCACAAAATGAGCCCCACATAATGAAGAATATTTTTTTCTGAAAAAATATTTTTTTGTGTCACCCATCGATAAATCATCACATTTTCATAAAAAAATTATTGTTTTTAAATGGAACCTCAATGGGCCCCCTACATGTTTATCTAGAACATACATTAAGGAAAAAAGTGACATCATCTTTGTTTTTTTTTTGTGAGAGATATAATTCCCATATCACTGATACGAATGATTTTTTTTGTTTTGGAAGTTCCAAGCTCATCAAGATCAGAGTTCATACAAGTATACTTCTCCTATACATTTCAATTTTCATTTCAATACTGAACATATTGGTAAGTTATACCTATATTTTTTATATCATAATATATCATATTATTTCTATTTGATTTGAGAGATAATGTCATTTCTCAATTTCAGAGAACTTTGATTTTTCATGCTCTCTTTTTAGATATTCATCAGATATAATTCAATGTTCGACGTGGCAAATAGCCAGGAAAGTAGTTGTTTTCTGCTGAATATTCAGAATTATATTATGTGCATATTATGAAGCAGAATGCAAATGTTCTACTTCAGAAGATTTTGTTTTCAAATTCAAATCGTGTGTTTAATAGATGAAATTCAATGTTCGTCGTGGCATATATGGCCAGGAAGGCAGGAAAGCAGTTGTTTTCTGTTCAATAAACCGAGAAAGAATTAATATTTTCATCACATAGAGAATGCGAATTCTCAATGTATTTCTTTATATCTATACAGGGTGTTTCGAAATTCGACCGTGATTTCATAATCACTGAGATAGGGTCTTCAAGTGTTCAGTTCTCGAGATACAGGGCGTTAAAATTAAGAAATTAAAATAGTTTTTTCGCAATATCTCATGAGAAATTGAATATAATGCATTCAACTTCGGTATATGGTTTCATCTTTGAATGGGTCATTTTTTGACCAGGAAGCCATTCCGGACATTTTATCCAGTGGTGCTCTACAGGGGGTTGTGGCAACTTTTCCTCTCATATTTTCCACGCCACTGATGAAATTTCCAATTCCTCGAATTCATTGTTCAATTTTGTTCAGAAAATGCATCACCTTCAACTGAGCTGAAATGAACAGTTTTCGAGATATTCGACCCAAAATAGAAGATTGCATAGTAATATTTCATCATTTTCAGTAGTAGAAAATTGCAAAAATATTTTTCTGGAGTTGAGTAGATTAGATACTATTCAGATCTCATTCTATAGCTGAACAGAAATAGTTACTCCAAGCATAAAGAGAAAACAAACATTTTTGTACTTCTATTTTGGGTCAAATATCTCGATAACAATTTATTTTATCTCAATTGAAGGTGATGCATTTTTTCAACATAATTGAATTCGAGAAATTGGAAATAATTGAAATTTCATCAGTGGCGTAGAAAATATGGGCGGAAAAGTTATCACAACCCTCTGTAGCGCACCTCTGGATAAAATTCTCGGAATGTGTTCCTGGTCAAAAAATCAACCATTGAAAGATTAAACCATATACCGAATATTTGAATGCATTATATTCAATTTTTTTTTTCAAGATATTGCGAAAAAAAAACTATTTCAATTTCTTAACTTTAACGCCCTTTATCTCGAGAACTGAACACTTTAAGACCGTATGTCCCTATCTCAGTGATTATGAAATCACGAGGGCTATCGCACCTGTCAAGCGTTGTCGGTCGAATTTCGAAACACCCTGTGTATTTCGGTGCAGTATCAAATTGTATACATTCAAAAATCAGCAACTATATTAGTTTCATGAATTTTCTTGCAGTTCGAATAATTTATCAAGTAAGCTGTGGAAAACAACATTTCTGAATCTTGTCATAAGATTGCACTTGTTTTGACCTGTTGAATTTGAATATGTAAAAAAATATACAGGGTGTTCCCCTGTAGTCCTCGCCATGTTGGATTGATTTCGGAAAAATCCGTGTACGAATGCAGAAGTTACCAGGGGTGGCCCGATACCCTGAGTCACCCGGTTTAGTGTTTGGCTTTGCCACAACAATTAAATTTTCTCATAAAAAAGACTATTCAAAAAGGCGTTTATGTGTTCGAAGTTTTGCATTTCTGAATACACCCATATATTATATAAGGGAAATTTACATTATCAGGTTGGCTGTGATTTGGTTAAAAACTGTACATACATGGCTTATTGTGACACCATTGAATCCGAACATGTGACCAGTTTTCAAAAAAATACATCTATTTTGGGTTTCTCGAAATTGTAATATGTAGGTAATTCAGGTTTTATTCTGCCCTAATAAGGTCAAGAGTTTTGGCATTTTCTTATCTGGTTTATGCTGTATGTCTGGCGAATAGTTTTTGAGAGACACTTTTTATTAACAATTATTATTAAAATACCCTCTATTGGCTTTACATGATGAAAACGTCTTCTAGGTGTTTTTATTGTCGGTGCAAAACGTACACCTTTTGGTACCTTTGGTGGTAAATTATCCAAAGTTCATATAACTGAACTTCAAACAATTGCATCAAAAGCAGCACTTACAGCTGCCAACATCAAACCAGAAGATGTTGATTCTGTTGTCTTTGGAAACGTACTGACGGTAAGCTATGTTTTTTTGTTCTGCTTCTGAATTCTGAGTAGTAAAAAAACCACTGTCAGCTAAATGTGGAGAAAAATCTAGTGAGCTGTAACTCAGCTTCTCCATATTTAGCTGACAATGGAAAAAAAAATTATAAAATATACCAGGTGTCAACGTATTCGTTAGACTAGTCATGGTTTCCAGAGTTTTGAAGATGATATTAAAACTTGGCAGGAGTGCTGGATTGAAAAATCATGAAATTTTTCGATATTTCATACTCTCTCATCACTTCTGGAGTTACCGCCGATTTCCGAAAACGACTCGAACTATTCAGTTTTAAATGGGACACCCTGTATTTTTTCCATAATCAGTAATTAGATTATTAGAGATTATCTATATCACACCTTTGGAATTCTGGAAACCATGGCTTGTTCCTATCTCAATTATGCGTCATGATATTCCAACCAAAGTTGTATTTCTAAATGAATAGCATTTTTCTACTCACATAACTAAAATGGCATTTATGTACCATGATCGATTAATCACGGATTGAAGATCTGTGATTTATTCATGATTTTTTGGCATTTTCTCCTCGTTTCTATAAAATAAAAATATGAATATTATTTCAATATAGGAGGAGAGAAAATCCCAAAAAATCTGGAATAATGAATGTACCACCTCCTCGATTAACCTACAGACAGTATAATGTTTTCGGTACATGTGAATATGGATACAAACCTGAGAAATAGAAAACTTTGGAAACCTCAGCGAATCGAAGAGTTTTCATTCAGATTTGTTTTTCAGCTTTCAGCATCAGATGGTGCATTATTTCCTAGGCATGTTGGTCTGAAGTGCGGAATACCAATTGCAAGACCAGCTTACCACGTGAACAGGTTATGTGGTTCAGGATTTCAATCACTTGTCAATGGATTGCAGGTTGGTTAAATCAGGTTTCACCCATTTTTACCACGTTAACTTCAAAACCATAACTAACCTTTTGATCTGTAACACAGATATATTTATTTTTTTACTTGTTTCTTTAATGTCGGCGTCTTTCTGCTACTGAGGCTAATTACCGACGCCGGTGAGCACACTATAACCCCAACCGGAAATTTTGCCGAATCCTCTGGTGTTCCAACCAGAGGTAGGGATCTTTAACGACTCCAACATCCATGGCCTCGGGACCGCCGGCTTGACGTCCCCTCCGAAGGACGGCATATCCGTACCATAGCTTGTGCTCATTTTGATATGGTAGCTGTAGCTATGATATGCTATTCCCCTACAGATGTACGGGCTTACGCGGCGTTTCCACGAATGGGGTCACCCATCCAAGTACTAACCGCGCTCGACACTGCTCAACTTCAGATATCGAACGTATCAAAGTCGTTTATTTCCATTATCCTAATCATTTACAATACAAATTTACTATTACATTGTATATATTTTGTGCTGGAGCATCATATAGTGCCCCTAGATGTCCCTCCGCAGAGGTGGCTGGTGTTGGCCAAGGGATGTGAGAGGATTTGTGGAGTTTTTGTCGCAGAGACCCATCTCCTAGGGCTAGGCCCTTTATAAAGGTAATCTCACTGTGGATACCCAGTGGGGCGGGGGAGTTGCTCATACGTGATCAGTGTAGGGAGTGTTTCCGGTTTTTGGAGGAAAAATAAAATGGAAAAACAAAAAACCTCCTGATATCGAACGGCTAGAGCCTTACCTGAGAAGCTAGGGCGATTAGCAAAGATTTTAGTTTTAGGAGATACATTTTTTCAATAGTTTATTATAATGTACTCAAAAACCATTTGGCTGATTTTGATAAACATGGGTCCTCTAATGTTATTAATTGATGTGTATATTCGGGTTTTTATTGAAAAAAATATGTTTTCTACAAACTTCCGACACCCTGTATCTCGAAAATGTAGCAAATTGAGAGAAAATCTCAGTGGGATGAAATAGTTATTTGATTTAGTTGACAGAAAAGCACAAGATTCAATGCTGCGGCTGGTGTTTCTCAACCGAGGCGTAGTCGGGGCTAGGAATCCAGCCAAGGCGTTGAATCTTCTTTTCTGCCATGTGAAACATACTTTTTTTTTCCAAATGTTATAAAACAGATTTTGTGTATTTTTTTATTGGAAATTCAATCATTTTGTGTTCACCCAATGTCATTTCATCAATTTCGATTTCCAATTTGATTCAAATTATTACTGGGATCGTTAAATATTATTTTTCTCCAAATGACATGAAAAATAGCTTTTAAGTTATACTTGAAAGGCATGGAAGGTGTATTTTGACTGCCTACGCAGAAAAAGTTTGTTGCTATGCAACGTTTCAAGTGATAATGTGATCACAAAATGGTGGAGCTTTCAATAAATAATTACACAAAATTGGTTTTATAACATATGGAAATGAAATAATATGGCATTGGCTGCATGGTTTTCACCAGCCACGGCGATACATCTTGTTTTTTTCTGCCTAGTGAAACGATAGTTGTTTTTCTCCAAATGACATTGAAAGTGGCTTTTAATGACACTCAACAGGCAGAAAAGGTGTACTTTTACTGGCTAAACAGAAAAGTTTGTTGCTATGCAACGTTCCAAGTAATAATCTGAATCAAATTGTTAATCAAAATTGACACTGACGTTGGGTGAACACAAAATGATGGATTATTTGGAGTTTGAAATTGAAACGAATTTGAAGAAAAAATTATATGTTTCACATGGTAACCTTTGCTGGTTATCTAGTCCCGGCTACGCCTTGACTATGAAAAGCCAGCCGCTGCATTGAATCTTGTTCTTTTCTGCCTAGTAAAACAAATGACTTGTTATACTAGGCAGAAAAGCACAAGATTTAATGCCGCGATTCAATTCGTTAATCTTGTGAATTGCGGCCTATGTTGCAGCAGCAAAATGCTTTTTTGCGTCCACTTGCACAAAAAAAAACTAGAATTGCCACTGTCTAAAAAAATCCATCGTGTCATAGAAAGTTGTATCAAACAGGCAGCATTGAATACCTATGCTGGCATCTAGCAATGCCATCTATACAACAGTTTCACATCCAACAGATTGATTTTCAATGTGATGTGATGTATTACAAGTAAACCAATTCTATTGTAGCAGTGACTTTCAATGTTGCTATAATTTCTTCTCAGGATATAGTTATGGGAGTAGGTGACATTGTTCTAACAGGAGGTGTAGAAAACATGTCAGCATCTCCCTACGCAGTAAGAAATATTCGATTTGGTGGAGTACCACTGGGAACAAGTCCAGTTTTGGAAGATACTCTTTGGGTGGGTCTCATTGACTCATACTGCAAACTACCTATGGCATTAACAGCTGAGAAACTGGGAGCACAATTCAAGATAACCAAGGATGAAGTTGATCAGTTTGCCTTGAGGTCACAACAAACATGGAAAGCAGGTATGCATGAAACAATTTGAACATACCGTCATCTTCAGACACAATGAAAAAGTACCTAGAAAGTTACAAGTAGTACAGATATGAAATAGAATGGTAGCTGAGAAAGAGTGGACATACCTCTTATGTAAAACATCTTAACAATAAAAATAATTATCGGGTCGTTATAACCAAGGATCAATCCAGCCTCGCACTCAACAAAATTTGTAACGGCTGAAAAGCCAAAAGAACTTTACTATAAGTGAGTTCAGCATCAGTGAAAAATGGAAAATTCAATTTTTGGAAGTCTACTCAATGGGGAAGACCACTGAGGGAAGAAATCTGTGCAAACCCATTTCAATCGAGGAATCATGTTTTACGTTTTATGTACAATCAATATTATGAGTTATAGTTGAAGGGAATCGAATCTATATCGTTTTGAAATCAGCATATTTCATTCGATATTTCAAAAAGCCAAATATGATGGTAGAGCCGTGACGTTTTAGTCCCGAACTGTACCTATCTCTCTCTGATACCTCGTCATTCTGCAGTGTTGCAGTGTGATTGGTCAGTTCAAGGACGATAGGCGTGTTGGGACTAAGGCGTCACACCAGTCACACCAATGAATTGACAAGATTTCGAATGGCACAGGAAATGTGTGTTTTGAACTGGACATATTCTAATTAATTTTTTTCATCGTCTTAGCATGAATGAAAAAATTCAAAATAAATTCACTGGCAGTTTTCCAGTATAGAGTAAACGATAATGTCGTTCAAAAAAATCAGTGGTCTCCCCCATTGAGCTGCATCTTACTGCAATCAAACCACACATTTCCAAAAATTTAATTTTTAATTGTTTCCTGATGCTGAGCTTACTTATAGTAAAGTTCTTTTGATTGATCCTTGGTTATAACGACCCGATAATTATTTTTTCCTACGACCACCTATGAAAACAGCACAAAACACATTGATTTGTCATTGAGAAAGTGACTCATTTCACTATGACAACATTTAACACTTAGAAAGTTCGAAAGTAGAACTCACATGGGTGGAAATATTCGAAAATCGCACACTAACAGGGTCTATAGATTATGATGTACCAATGAATGATTATTATGCTGAATTATGGTGAGTTAAGTTATTGTCGTTAATTTTGACGCAATGTTGAGTTGATGAAAAGTTGAAATCAAGTTAATTTCAATTGAAAGTTGAATTAATGGCAATGTATTTGCAATTTAGTGATTAATGTGAAGTTAATGTCAATTTGTTATTTAGTTGATGTTAATTTGATTTTGAGGTAATGTCAAGTTAATTTTGAGTTACTGGTGATTTAATATTGACTTTATGTTGAATAATTATTGAGTTAATGTTAAGTTGATGTTAAGTCAATGTTAGGTTTATTTTAAGTTAATGTTGAGTTGATGTTGAGTTAATTTCAAGTTAATTTCAAGTTAATGTTAAGAAACTGTTAAATTTATGTTAAGTTGATGTTGAGTTAATGTTAAGTTCATATTAAGTTAATGTTGAGTTAACGTTAAACTAATGATGTCATTTAAATATTTTTGAGTAAAATTAAATGAATGATAATGATATCACCTTCATGTGATCGAATATGATTAGAAACATGATCCCTACTCTGGTCTTATAAACACTCATGACATATAATATAAATATTTGTGGTCGTAGGAAAAATAGTGTACAAAACTCGTTGGAAAGTGCATTTCCTGTGCTCGTTTCGTTTCCGCACTCGTCGCTCTGCGGCTCGTGCTAAACGTCCACTCGCGCAAAATATGTCACTTACCACACTAGTTATGTAATATACTATTATTGTTAGGATGTTTTCTACATAAGAGGTATGTCAACTCTTTCTCCACTAGCATTTTGTTTCATATAAGTACTACTTGTAACTTTCTAGGTATTTTTTCATTGTGTCTGAAGATGCCCGTAGAGCCGAAACAATAGTCACTAACTAATTATTTTTATATTAAATATTGTGGTCGACCGACTTTGAGTTCGTTTTTTCTCCTCCATGTCTTAATTTGAAAATATTTAAAAATATTAACTAAATACAATCTTAGGCTAGGACTAGAAATGAAAGTTTCACTATGAATGACATGTGTTTTGCAGAATTGAATATTGTCATCTTGGACCGCCTTTTATATGAACATTATGCTGTGTTATCCACAGGAGAACATTTTCAGAATTCCTTTTCATCAATTCGTGATTAGTATCAAATTAAAGTTCTTAAGGTTCGATGAACTGAGAGTTTGGTATCATCTGTTATCCACTTTATTTTAATTAATTCCGAAACTAATTTTCCCGTAAACTTGTTACATCTCACCTTTATCCATTTCAGCTCAAGATGCAGGACGATTCAAGGAGGAAATAACACCAGTTCCCTTGACAATAAAAAAACAGACGGTTAATTTTGAAGTAGATGAACATCCAAGGCCCCAAACAACCCTTGAAACTTTGGCGAAGTTGCCTACCCTATTCAAAGAAAACGGATTAGTAACTGCTGGTAGTGCATCTGTGAGTATTGAGTAACCCAAAATTATTCATGAATATTAGATTGACGAGTAGATAAAGCATAATTCTAGTTGAACAGCATTCCATACATAGTTCAATAATTTGACATTTCTTTCATAGGGAGACCTAGTCCAACTTTCTTATATTGGCATCACTGAAAATCAAATAGCTGACATTGAGATGTCATAGTCCCAAATCCTAGATCGCGAAAGCATATTCAGGCTCATTGTTCAACTATTGTTCTACTGAAATAACAATTGTATGCTCTTGTTACTGTTGAAGAAAATGATCCACCAATATTATTCGTTTCTTCTCAAGTGTTTGCAGTACTACCAGGGAATCATGACGGCCACAAAAATATCCCAAATTATACTGAATAGTTCTGGATCCTCAAAAAAATTGCTGTCATGTTTCATTTAAACAACTGCAAAAACCGTAGTTAAAGCTAGAGTCTAGTTAAAGCCTGGTTTGGATAGAGTTGTAGTAGCCCTTTATACACTATAAGGAACTCACAATGTTATTGGTATATTTCACTTTGTAATAAAACACTTGTATGCAATTAACTTCACTCGGTCGTCACCCGATCGCTGTCTAACGCTTACTGTCCTATCGTCCCCGTTACTCAGCGCTCAGGTGATTTCCGTTGATAGTCGTTTATTGTGTAATCAAGGGTGATACATCAACTCATACACTACAAGAGTCACTGGATGGTATTAGTAAGATAAAAGTTTGGACACAGAAATGACAACTGTTAGTGTTTTTGAATGTTTAGATTTATCAAGTTGCACACCTTGCATTGTAACAACAGCATCATAGTCGTTCCGCGCTTTTTCATTCAAAATTGTTTGAATTTGACAATGAATTTTATGAACGTCATAATTGAAATATAATTTCATAAACTATTGACAAAATAGAATAAATGAAAATGTCCTGCTATGTAATGAATTGCGGGAATTCTGAAGGAAATGGCGATTTCATTGCTTCGATTTTCCAAAGGAAAGATTAACCATTTCCCTTATAGAAGGAATGTATGAACCAAGTGAATGGAAAATTAATTTGAAGACAAGCAAAATTTGTGAGGTAAGTACATTAAAATTCACTTCTTATAACAGCAGATTGGAATGAAACATAATTTAAGGCCCATTTTCAATCTAATATTATCATCAGATAAATGCAACATAAAATTATCATGGAGAAAGAGGAATTGATTGCAAAACTACGTAATGAAAATGAACATTTGAGAACGCAACTGAGGAAACAAGTAAATTGCAACGTGATATAATATCATTGAATGGCGTTTTCAATACCGATCAAATTCAAAATTCATCAGTAAAAAGTGAATGCAGTAAAAGGTAGAAAAGCAAAACAATCTTCATGTTTTATTAACCATATGTGTCTATTTTGTCATATTGAAATGTTGTTACATGAATTCATTTCATTTTTATTACTATTGTTCTGCGAAAAGTGTATCGCTATATAAATTGAAGTGAGTGTTTGTACCCTATTTCTATATTCCATCTACGACACTGATTGATTTGACAGAAAATCTAACCTCTAAAATCGCATCTGACAATCAGGTGCTACTAGGCAAATTGAAAAGACAATGAGCAGAATATATGTCTTATCCTTTTATTCACTCAAACCATTGTAATATAGAAAATAGAAAAGGACAGAAGTTCAGCTGTGTCCGAAATCTTATCTAACTAATACCATCCAGTGACTCTAGTATGCTCTAGTCGAAGATGGTCGTGGTATTACGGTAGCTTTACCATGAAGTAAAAAAAAAATCATCGATAGCTTAGTCGCAGGGTATAACATGAAGTTATAGTCATGTTGTAGCCATCTAGTGGCAAAGCTCTAAGGTAGGATACAGAAATCGCCACACACACTGTATGGCGCTGCCATCTATAGTCACACGTACAGACCCCTACGTCTATAGGCGATTCATGCTAAGGAGTACTCCCTCTACCGTTGTCTAATATAACTAACGTATGGGCCATTGATTGCTTTATTTACATTAGTTTGCGTGTATTTTGTATGAGTAGTAGTTGTGTTTTAATTATCTATAATTTTGTTTGAGAACTTCTATAAACGTTTAAATACATGAGTCATCATTGTTGTGTACCTCATTGTTCATCTTGAGCAAAAAAATCCCGAGTATAGCTTTCATTCCTTTCAAAAATCAGGACAGTCTAAATTTGTATTTGAAACTAATAATTTGGGAAACAAGGAAGTGATCGGTAGGAGAAAGGTGTGGATTCATAACTTGAAGATTGGAAAAAGTGTAAAGTGTCTGAACATAATGAGATATTGTTCTTTACACTTCACTGAAAATTTACTCATACATGTAGGTATATTTTCAAATAATGTATGTCTATTATGAATATAATACCTACTTCTTGAGATGGTGGAGAAAGAACAAACAAATTTCAAACTGATTATATCTTTACTCATGAACAGTAGAATTTTTAAACAGTAAAGAATGTTATCAATCAGGGTTTCGATGATTATGTTGTAAAAAGTCAAGTAGAAACTGTTTACCCAAATTCACCTTCCAAAGAACACTTTATTCCCAAAAAGTTTGCTGGATTTTGTTTTAAAAATATCATGCACTATCAGGGGAATATCCCAGCTATATATTCGAATTGGAAATCAACATTCCACACAGGTTTTCATGAGCATTCTTGTTCAATAATGATAAAAACTTACAGCCTATGCATGTTGGTATATATGAAGTTCAACTAGAGGTAGAGAGGTTATCTAATGTTGAACAGAGATAATACATATAGTCCTCAATCAAAACACAGTAGACCGCTGGAAAATACAAAGTTCGATAATAGACAAATAACAAAGCTGGACGTTTGGAAACTCAAAACGAAATGAACATAAACACCATTAACAAACAATGTAAACAATCCGCCAATGGCCCATAGAGTAGTACCGACATTTGCCGTTCTGGCGCTACGATCTTAATCTCAGTCGCCTATACGCTACAGAGTGGTACTACAAGTAAACCACTCTGCTGACAGATGGCACTACCTGACATACTTGAGTGGAATTTTTCCACCACCTATTCAACTGCTAGATTTCATAACTAAGAGATCCATGAACAGAGTCGCTCAATTTTCAGCAGGAGCGACAGTACTGTTTCGACCCACCAGGTCTCATCAGCCGCTCTCGGTCTGTTGACAACTGGGACAACTCTACGCTTCGGGTATATCACCCATTTCGAAGACGCAGGGCATAACATGAAGTTATAGTCATATTGTAGCCATCTAGTGGCAAAGCTCTAGGGTAGGATACAGAAATCGCGACACACACTGTATAGCGCTGCCATCTATAGTCACACGTACAGATCCCTACGTCTATACGCTACAGAGTGGTACTATAAGTAAATCACTCTGCTGACAGATGGCACTACCTGACATGGAATTTTTCCACCACCTATTCAACTGCTAGATCTCATATACGGTGATATACCCGAAGCGTAGAGTTGTCCCAGTTGTCAGCAGACCGAGAGTGGCTGATGAGACCTGGTGGGTCAAAACAGTACGGTCTCGCTCCTGCTGACAATTGGGCGACTCTGTTCATCCTGGATCTCTTATTTATGAGATCTAGCAGTTGGATAGCTTAGTCATTTATAAATTTGGGATAATGGTTTATTGGACAGTTCTTATTCAGAATAGAAATTCCTATCGATTAAGATGATTGTATACTGGGTGTCCCATTGAAAAAAAAATTAACTTTTTGATATAACTCGTAAACGCGATGAAAACTGTAACTGTAACTAAATAATTACCAAGTTAGCAATAGTTGAGGCTTATATTTGAAAACCATGTTTACCGGGTGTAATTTAATTGATGGCTGAAAATATAGGACATGGTTCCTGAGCTCATTTCAAGAAGAAAAGTTCATATGAACATATGCCACAAACCTCTTAACTTTCGAACTATAGGGTGTACAATTTCATTTTCTCTTTTTTGATTACAGAAATTTTCACAATGTGAAAAACTGTCACGTTTATGGATACTTGTCAAAATACGAACGCAACGTAATCGATCAAATGTCATTATTTCAAAAACGACATTGGGGCACTAGCCTATTAGTTCAGAATAATTTCGTTATGCCACAAATGCATGAAAAAAGTTTTTATTTTCTTACGCGAAAACGGATTGTCGGACGAAAAAAAATTAGGAGGTTGAATTGTTGCAAAATAAATGGAGATTTTAAAAAATAGTTTTATTCTCGAGAAAATCTAGGGCTTACAACTTTGTTTTTTCAAGATCTCCTGGATACATCCCAAACGGACGCCACTGGTAGAATTTGAAAAAAAATTTAAAAAAATCTGCACCAAAAAATGCCTATTGGTGCTTAGTAGGTGCATGTCAAATTTAATGAAAATATCTAGAACAGTATTGAACTTATTGTGAGTTTTTCAATAAAGGTCTTGAGAGATACTCGAAAACGGTTTAAAATATATTGCCAATAAATTTCGTGACAAAATTGTATATTGAGAAAACAAGTAAGTAACGACTCTCAAATAACAAACTCAAAATCATCATGGCACTAGATTACAATAATTTTGAATGACATTCATATCAGGACAAATATATATATACTGGACGATGAATCTTTTACAAATTATATTAAGAAAACGAGTTTTTTCTTAAAATTGTTTCACCCTATACTCGAAGGTTAAGAGGTGTAGGGCATATGTTCATATGAAATTTTCTTCTTGAAATGAGCTAAGGAACCATATCCGACATTTTCAGCTATTAATCAAATTACACCCTGTACATACATACATTTCTATAAATACACAAAATGTGCGATATAGTTTCCTGAAATATTCTCTGGAAGTAACCCCGAAAGTTTCCAATTTCGCATGTTCTTTTTCAGGGTATATGTGATGGTGCCGCAGCAGTTGTATTGGCCAGTGAGGCGGCTTTATCCAAAAACAACCTGAAACCACTGGCGAGAATCGTTGGTTACTCCGTTGTTGGTGTTGAACCTTCAATTATGGGTATTGGACCTTCTCCTGCCATACAAAATCTGCTCAAAGCTACAGGAAAAACTCTAAATGATATCGACTTAATTGAGGTACGCACCTAACCACAAGATATTAAATATTATATATCATACTGACTTCAGCAAAGCTTTTGATAAGATCGATCACGCATTGCTGGTACAAAAGCTGGCTGATGGTGGTGTGACTGGCTCCCTACTGAATTGGTTTCAATCTTACGTAAGGAATCGTAATCGGTCAGATCAGTCAATATAACGTCGTGTTCCTCAAGGCTTAGATCTAGGTCCCCTACTTTTCAATATTTCTATAAATGACATATCTGAATGTTTCAAATTCTCGTATTTCCTTATGTATGCTGATGATCTTGAAATATGTCATGCAGTTTCACACTTGAATGATTGTATGCTCATTCAAGAGGACCTTGATTGCTACTCAGAGTACTGCAGAAATAACTCCCTCTTCCTGAATCTCAACAAATGCCATCAGATGACTTTTAGTAGAAACTCTAATTTTATTACTCATAACTATACCATGCAGGATCATCATCTCCACATCTGTAGTGAAGTGAAGGATTTGGGAATTAATTTTGATTCAAAAATGACTTTCAATAAACATATTTCGTACATTTCTAAGAGAGCGAATAAAATGCTAGGTTTCATTTTAAGAACAACTTATCCTTCCAAAGATTATAATACCTTGCGTACTCTTTTCATGTTATACGTGAATAGTCTGCTAGTCTTCGGCTCAACCATTTGGAATCCTTATTATATAGTATACACGAAACAAATAGAAAGTATTCAGAACAAATTCATTGCTTATATCAACAAGAAATATTTCAAAAACACGCCACAAAATCACTTCGTAATTCGAAATCTTAATTTGATTTGTCTTGCTGACAGAAGAGCTATCGCCGATATCAAATTCTCTTTTGAAATTATTGATGGAATCATTCATTCGTCATCTATAAATAACTTGATCCATTACAATGTTCCACAATATTCCACTCGCTATTATTACTTGTTGCATACATCCATACCGAACACAAATTACTTACCTACTCAACTCCCCTTTATATCGATGCTTGAAAGGTTATAACTCCATTTCAAACATATTAGAGATTGTTATTTTTCCGACTCTAACAATCTTTGTGAACAAACTCAAGAAACATTTGGTTCCAGCATCAAATTGATAATATGTTAAAAACTTTTCTTTTTAATATAAAATATATAAAATTTTGCACTGTATAATAATGTGAATACTGTCTCTGGGGTCGTCCTGTTTTTATTTTTGTTTATGAAAATGAAAATAAAATAAAATCGAATTCACCCTTCGAATTACTAGAATGTACTGACAAGATGACAGATTGTTCAAATCGTTGATACATAGTTTTGTTTTTAGATCAATGAAGCTTTCGGTGCCCAAACACTAGCCTGTGTGAAAGATTTGAAATTGGACATTAATAAACTGAATGTAGATGGTGGTGCAATTGCCTTAGGTCATCCCCTTGCAGCTTCTGGATCTAGGATTACTGGTCACCTTGTTCACGAATTGAGGTTAGTTTCGAATACACTGCATAATTTCATATTTGCAACTATTTTCATAAATGTGAATCTACAACATACAAGACCACGTTTTGACAATCGTTGTTATTGTTTAAATTCCAAGATATACCCAAAAAATACATTCCACAATAATATCCATAGAAGCCTGAAAAAATATTTCGGCAATTAAGCTGCCCTTCTCAGTGATGAAAAGAAAATGAAGAATAATAATGATAAATAATCTATTGGTTGAACCAAATTTCAGTGTCTGTTTTGAAATGCTAACCCGTCTTGTATTTTTCTAGGAGGAGAAATGCTAAACTTGGTATTGGATCTGCTTGTATTGGAGGAGGTCAAGGAATAGCAGTAATGGTTGAGGTTCTATAATCAACTCATTACATAAGAGAAGATACAATCCAATACGAAATGTTGATTTTTACAAACGATCATTTATTCATTCCATTGATTCATTGACACCATATTTTTATACAATGTTATTTAAAACACGGAACATTAAAATATAATTGATTATTACCGTAAAAGGTTTACTTATTTGAATATACCCAATGAATATAATTTAAGTACCATATATAACTCTCCATAACTCTATAACAAGCAGCGGTGAGAGAAATGCAACACCGCGTCGCGGTGATCCGGAAGGTCTGCTCTCGACTTGTACATTAGAGTACGGACACTATGACAAGCACTGACAATCAGACATAACCACAAATAAATTGATGGAAGAAGCGGGAACTGACAGTACACGGACGTACATGACATAAATTTCAAAGGTTTGACAAATTGAGAGAATTAGGAGAAAGATGAAAGTTTTTGCAGTTTCCAACTGTGAGGACACGGAAAATCAATTCACTCTATTCGAATTTTTATCGGATAACGTAATTCTACAAAAATGGAAACAGAATATGAAGCGGCCGGCATGGAATATGGGTTCAGGCCACAAAATTTACGAGGTATTCAAATTTCTTGGTAGGATATAGAACATTTTCCAACGCATTTTTATCAGGTACGTACACGAACGGAATTGAGAGAAAGAGCCGAACCCACAATTTATGAATTGAGCGAGTATCGAAAAGAACCATATTCCAATTTATACTCTGGTAATTGCTTGTGATGGAATGATGGAGCAGATATCACAATTGCCACCATGGAGGTCATGGTCGATCATCTGATGATGAAACAGCAGCAACTTCCTGAATTGACTGACTCAAACAGATTTCACATTCCTGTTCTACCAATAATTCTTTAGATCATCTTTGTATACGAACTCTTATAATAATTTTGTGAAAACATATAGTCACTTTGTGGAGCTCTGATGTACCAGATATTGATGTATCAATATCAAAGAGTTGAATATATTGTTCATGTATCGCTTCTTCAAAGTTGAAATCCCAAGACTGAATGTGCATGTTCATGCGTAATTGAGAAGTGCTAGACGAGTACATAGCTCCTAGTGGATTTTGAATCACTTCTTGGGTACCAACACACGAGCAAGATATTATCAGACCACAGAACAAGAACGCTTAACGAGTGCACCATTCATGTTAGGTATTGAAAATGTTCTTCCGATGGCCGAGTTCAAACCAACAATCCCCTTTAGTGAGTTGAGCGCTGAAGTCCATTTATATCTACTTCCGTATGTCTTGGAAAACCTTTATTATTTATTACCTACCTGAAATCAGATGTTATTGTTGCCATATCATTTGTTCATTTATTAATTACTTATTACCTACCACTCTTGTACAAGTGGAATTGTACCATACGAAATGAAAGTTAGTTTCATTGGTTGAAATTTATTGGTTTTCACCCCATTCGCACTTTTGTGATAAAAAAAATATTCAACTGTACGTATATACAGGGTGTTCCGGTGATCATGTTACAAACTTCTAGGGTAGATAAAACACACGAAAATAAGAAAAAAAGTTCATGTGAACATGGGTCCGGTCAGGGAGCTAGGGCCCTTCGAAGATGACCTTCAAAAACTACTTTTCGCTTTATAGCTTCGGTACTACTGCAGCTATCGCAACCAATTTTGGGACATGAAATCTAGTTCGTAGGTTCATCAATTTGAGCCTTCCAGATTTTGTCACCTTTAACCAGTGGCGTACAAACCAGGAGGGGTAAATTTGACCTTACTCCTCTTAGGCTTTGATTTCTTACCATTTTTATATCTGATTATGATTCTCCAATGCATTTTACATAAAAAAGGTACTCTTGTAAAAATCGCTATCTATCACCGTTTCCTCCGAAAATGGCTAAATCCAATCAAATTTTTCGAAATTGGGGGTATAAAAAGTAAAAGGGAACGTATACAAAATATTTCAAAAAAAAAAACAATTAAACCTACACAAGCAAAACTAATAATAAATTTGCAATAAATCATTCATGAGCACCAATGAAAAACTTAAAGTTTTGAAGTTTCACAAGTACAAAATAAACAAGTAACACAAACAGGTTTAACGAGTGAGTCAAGGATAAGGCAGAGTAAATTTTTGTCTTGAAGATGAATTTACTAACGCTGTCGTTGACTGACCCTGTACGTACCCAAATAAATTCAAAATAACAATTGCTGAAAATGCCTTCCACCACGTTCAATACATTTATTACACCTACGTTGCATATTTAAATTGACGTCAGTGAAAACATCAGGCATAGTTTGGATCATTTCAGCCGCAACAGAAATCCTAGCCACCAAATCTTCCTCCGACTGAACTGGAGTTTCATATACAAGGCTTTTCATATGTCCCCAAAGAAAGAAATCCATAGGAGTTAAATCTGGGGACCGGGCTGGCCAGTTGACATCGCTTCCACGTCCAATCCAACGTCCTCTAAAACGATCATCGAGGTGCTGACGTACGACATGTGAAAAATGAGCGGGTGCTCCATCATGCTGGAACCATAGATTCCGACGTATGTCGAGGGACAGCTCATCCAATAACTCAGGTAAGGTGTATCTTAAAAAATTGAGGTACACCGTCCCAGTTAGTCGAGGAGGCAACATGATTGGTCCAATTAGACGTTTTCCAACAATTCCAGCCTACATGTTCACCGAGAATCGATGTTGGTACCCTCTTATTTGACGAGCATGAGGGTTTTCCTCTGCCCACACATGGCTATTCCGTGAATTAAAAATACCTTCTCTCGTAAAAACAGCCTCATCAGAGAAAAGCACAAATTTCGGAAATTGGGGTTCTTGCGTACACTGTTGAAGAAACCACTCGCAAAACTCTACGCGGGGTGCATAATCATTTGGTCCCAATTCCTGTACTTTTTGGCGATGGTAAGGATGAAGAAGTTATTCGTTAACAATCTCCCATACACGTACATGACTTACATTCATGGATTCTGCAACAGCTCGGGTACTAACACTAGGATTTTCCTCGAATTGGCGGAGTACCTCTTCCTCAAATTCTGGAGTTCGTACAGTTCTTTGAGCGTCATTATCTGGCCTCGTTATTTTCACGGAGCCAGTTTCCCTTATGCGCTGATTTACCCTCTCGAACAGCGTGTGAGCAGGTACACGCCTCCAAGGAAACCGCTCCTGATACAATCTTGAAGCGGCTCTTCCATTGCAATGAACTTCGCCATAAATTAATAGCATATCGGCATATTCGCCGAAAGTATAATTCATGATTCACTGGCGACACAATATTTTATTGACAGATTTTTGACAATTATCTGTACTGAACCTCATTTTCATATTTCAACGTAATAATTGGTTTAAGACCAATAATTTATTATTGATTGGATTTAGCCATTTTCGGAGGAAACGGTGATAGATAGCGATTTTTACAAAAGTACCTTTTTTATGTAAAAGGCATTGGAGAATCATAATCAGATATAAAAATGGTAAGAAATCAAAGCCTAAGAGGAGTAGGGTCAAATTTACCCAAATACCCCCCTGGTTTGTACGCCCCTGGTTAAAGGTGACAAAATCCGGCAGGCTCAAATTGATGAACCTACGAACTAGATTTCATGTCCCAAAATTGGTTGCGATAGCTGCAGTAGTACCGAAGCTATAAAACGAAAAGTAGTTTTTGAAGGTCATCTTCGAAGGGCCCTAGCTCCCTGAAGAAGCGTTTCCGGACCCATGTTCACATGAACTTTCTTTCTTATTTTCGTGTGTTTTATCTACCCTAAAAGTTTGTAACATGATCACTGGAACACCCTGTATATACCTACATATAAGAGTACACATCAGTGTGGCAACTACGACTAAAAGACGTCTCCAAGTCCGATCGTTCTAACAGCCGTTCATCTTTTTTCATAATGACGAAATTTACCTGAGCTCGACAGGAAATTTGATGCTTTTTCAATATTTGCATGATGCTATGTAATACTGCTCTGCTCTGAGTAATACGTAAAATATGAATTATCTGCGAAAACCGACGAGAAACGCTATTTTTTGAAAAGTACCCAAATTTGGTCATTTTCAACTGGCTTCATCTCCGCACCCTTCAGTCCTATATCAATGAGCAAGAACAATTTTATCTAGAAAATTTTATCGACTTCAACTCTGTATAGAGCGGTCTTTTCGATATAATGTATGATTTCCGAGTTACGGGGTTCGCTGTTTTTTGCTAGTATCTCGGAACGCTCCAGGAAATTTTGTTTGCAAAATTCAGATTCGAATTCAGCACCTGCAATAACATACAGAGAAGTGCACAAAAAACGGCCAGGACTGTAACTTTTGAATTATTCGAGATAGGGTTTTGAAAATTGGTGGACACCTAGTATACCAAATTGCTCATTAATTGACGAAACCATTTTTTTTTCTATCACTTCAGGTTTTACTGGAAACGACCCCAACATTTGATTTTCAAATGAGACACCTTGTATTCCATAATCGGTTAGGGATTGTCATAACGAATTCATCGATACCGGGTTTGATAGGGTTATTTCAAACGATTACGCAGATATTCGCGTTCTAAGTTTCCATATGCTCAATGAGTGTGACAGAGAAAGAAGTTTTGATATTGCGGAGTCACACCCATTGAGCATATGGAAACTTTGAACGCAAATATCTGCGTAATCGTTTGAAATAACCCTATCAAACCCGGTATCGTTGAATTCGTCATAAGAAACCCTAACCGATTATGGAATACAATACAGGGTGTCCCATTTAAAAATAAAAAGTTGGGTTCGTTTTCGGTGAGGCTGGAAGTGATAGAAGAAAAATTGTTTCATGAATTAATTAGCAATTTGGTATACTTGCTACCCCACCAATTTTCAAAACTCTATCAAGAATAATTCGAAAGTTACAATCCTGGCCGTTTTTTGTGCCCTTCTCTGTATGAAACCACAGAGAAATCGACTACTTGAATTTTTTCCCGGATTGGGTCCTAATCGTGACCGTTTTACTGAGCTACTTGTCATTTCTTGACGTTTGTAGAAGAAATATGTTTGGATGTTATTTCTCATGACAGTAGTAAATGATTAACGTATGTAATACATCAAGTTAGTGTATTGTTTACCATGGAAATAAAAATCCCTTCGACTTTGACAAACAAATTATGTTACAAATACAGAAAATTCACTTCATTATTGTGGTTTCAGAACCCTGTTCTCAATAAAGTTATGATAGGTTGTTGGTGTTGGTTGTTCTCATTATTTATTGTATTTACAAATGGCACGTCACTTGGATAAGTCAAGTATCATTTTTTTCATCTGTCAAACCAAAAAATATTGATCATTCGGCTTTTAGGACTTTTATTTATCAAAGACGATTTTTTAAAATATTTCAATTTTATCGAACCCTAAATATAAGATTACTTGAATAAATATTCACCCATCCACTTGAGGTGGTGCCAAGGACTGATACAGCTTTGTTACAGCTGTTTGTACAATTTGTTGGAACGTTTCATCGCTGGGACACTTGACATCCTGAAATTTAATTGAATATTATTCATGCTAATTTCAAGTTATTATATCTTCTTACCAAATTCGATAGATCAATATCTGCTCTTTTATCATTGACTGTCACATATAATTTTTCTCCTTTGAATATCTTTGGCACTGAGTCTTCACCAAACATATCTTGCAGCATTTCAATTAGGCATTCCTAAAATTTGCATCGAAAATTAGAAGATCAAGAGAATATCAGAAATTACAAGGAATGAGGATTTGGATGCATTAAAAGTATGAAAATTTATAACAATTTCTACTTTTTGAGTAGTTCCAAGAGTATGAATTCTTGGATGGATACGGACCTGGCATTCTCTAATTTATGTAGAGAAAGGTCCATAGTCTAAATTGAGAACTGAAAAACAAATAATCTATGGTAAAAGTCCATGGTATCTCAAAGTGGAGTGAATAGATTCATAAACAAGACACACAAAGTCATCTCCACAAATTTAAATTTGTGGAGATGACTTTGTGTGTCTTGTTTATGAAAAACAAATTCTTGAATCAGATGTTCATTATTCAAATTTTTTTGGGATTTTCTCTCCTCGTTTCTATAAAATAAAAATATGAATGTTGTTACATTCCGAATGGTGCCTTCAAAATACTAATTCCCATTTAGTGATCCCCTCTGATTCCAAAAATATACATACACTTTTTATAAATCTGGTGAAATAATTCTGTGTGGAAGAAGTGGTATACCTATCATTTCTACCAACCAGTGGCGGCTCCTCAGAGGAGGCTGAGCCTCCTCAGAGATTTTCCTTAAACTAATATTATTTATACTTTCTCATTAAAATGACACCAAAATACATGGATTTTGATTTTATTTCCTGTTTTTAGTTAAATATTTTTTAATTGGCAACAGTGCTTGCCCACGCATCACACGTTGAAGTCTGCGTAAAATATTCAACTTGGCAATATCTATAGGAGGCTAGACTCCAACCCACGCGCGCAATGCAAATGCCCGAATACGCCCGAATAGCACGTGTTTGTCGTGTCGCTTCGCGAATTGCGGACAAACGCGAGTACATTGTTTATGTTTATGTTAGGTTAATGGTTAGGAGCTCTATAAATTTCTGAAAAATGAGTGTTTTAAACGATTGCGATTAATTAGTGGAATACTTTTTGGTGAACCCATTCAGTGCTTTGTCTTATGAAGATAAATTGATTGTGAAAAACAAACGTCCGACACTCGAATTGAAAAATCTGATTGTAACAGGTAACAAACAAAATCGTTCGTTCAATTCTGATAATTATAAAAAATATATCTGGCTGACGGGATCTGACGTAAGGAATAAGCTATTTTGTTGGTACTGCGTATTATTTTCAACCGATAAGTCATCATGTTGGGGGCGATTAGGATATAATGATTTGAAAAATGTGCCTCGCGGATTGGATAGACACTGCAAATCACAGGAACACATCTCTTCAAGTATTGAGTTCAGGTTAACTGGTAAATAGAATGTCATTAAAGCTATTGATTTGGGTGAGTAGAGAGTTGTTTTTCACAATAAATCTCATATCATTCAGCCTCCTCTGTCATGAAAGTCACGGGCCGCCACTGCTACCAACCTTTATCTCACGTCTCACTAGCGTGATCTGATGTACAGTCGTATTCAATAAAAAAGCGTACAAGTATGTAGAATCAAAATATGTTAGCCCTCATTTGAGATGTTCTGCAAACACATTCATTTGCTTGTTTACCTCCGGAGTCGATTTTCAATGTCATTTAGATCAAGACACAATTGACTTGGAGCGTTCTGTAATTTGACAGCCAGGAAAAAAATTAAATTGTTTTGCTCGGATTATTTATTCAGAGGAATCGGATATATTTCAACTATGACAGCTCTTTGTTGAATGACAGTTATTACTAATTCCGAACCGATCCGCTACTGATCTAAAATTTCAAATATAAGGTTCTGGCAATGCACATTGACCACTTATAAAATCACCTAAAACTCTCAACATTCGCGAAACACCACAATGTTATTAATAGTTGTTTTTCTATGTATACTTCGAGATGACCGCTTGTTATTTCATGAATTATTAGTGTAGTATCATGAACTTTTAGCAGAAGTATTTCAAAGGTCTCTGGAAGGAGACGAAAATGTTTTTGAATTGTCTGTCTTTGAAATTATACACGGTCACTTCAGCAAAATTCTCATTTTTTTCTAGAACTGCTGCTTCTTCACCATCTTCATTGATTATATCAATCATTAAACTGATCATAATATTTATAGCAACACCTAAAACATTATTTACATCCATTTTTGAGTTTTCAGTAGATGACAGAGGACATGACATCGATAATCAATTCATGTCGGAGCATGTCACTCACGACTCCTCTCAGGAGTGTTCTTTTATTTTATTCATCTGTATGCTCCAGAGGTCACATGACTGAGAATCTTCTCGCTCTCACTCTGCTCTTAGATGCGGTTACAGAACATCTCAATTGTATGATCTAATTATATCTCACCTTGAAGTGCATCCTGTCAACTTTTACAGATGACGACATACTGCTGACAGGCGAATCTACCAAATCAGCTTGCAATATTGCTGCCACGATAGCATCGGCATACATATCATTAACAGGATTGGCGACCCACTGAAAAATGATCGTACAGAAATTTCTAAATGCCAACATATGGCTGTATCAACGCACCTCTAGAGTTATAATTTTGTGATCTATTGTAATATCGACGGCGTTGAACGCTCTCATCTTCTTATCACCTTCGATAGATTCAAGTAAACCAGCCACTTGGGAAATCAGATACCTGAGAACGCCACTGTTGCCAGAATAATGTAAACTCTGTCTTTGCATTATTTGACTCATACTCAGCTCTGTATATTCTGAAAAAAGAAAACAATTTTCCAAATTTTGTACAGTGAAATGAAGCATAAATTAGTTTGAATAAGTTTACGAAAACTCTTCTTTATTCTTTTAAAGATAGGTTTTCCTACTCGTTGTCTGAGTACTTTACATAATTATCGTATGTTCCTTTATACTACCCAGTTTGTAAACCTTAATTTTTAGCCCTACGTATGTGAAGAGTCCAAATATAGTAATTGTATATTGATGAAACCCATTCAAATCTGGACGAGATTATTATGAAATGCTTGGAGCAAGTAGAATGTGATATCTAGTCTAAAATACATTGAAAACTAGACACTGTGCAAACACAACTCGAATTATGAGCAGTTCACACCCATCTGGGATCCCAGGCTGAGCCACTGACATGGATTACTAACTAGACCGCTAATGCCATGATGCCATCTACAGTGTGGCCAAGATGATATTGAACAGCGTGAGAATCTCGGAAACGGGAAGAGATATGATATCATTATTTTCAAAATTTTCGATGGCTTTTTTATTCTGAATTCAACCATGAATTACTCAAAGTGGTTTGAATGTGTTTCGACCTAGTTTCACCCATCTCCAATGTTTTTTCGAAATTTCAAAGAGGAAATATCATCAGTTCCACTTATTTCTGATCATTCATTTCAAATATTGATAGAGTAGTTATTAGATACTGAAAAGAAAAAAAAAATCCATAAATGATTCAATACAGCACATCATATAAGGAAGTTTTCAATATTCAGGATTTTATCTCACTGTGAAGTTTGTAAAATTATAATATATCCGTATTTTTTCTTTTTTCCGTTACATCAAATTTCACTTCAGAAAAAAATGCCGTACAACCTAGAAAAGCCACATTTACACAGAGTTAAAATACGATTCCTTGTGTCAGTACGACGTTGCCGGCATCATCAATATATCTCGAATTCCGGAAATCGTTCTTGGAATAAATTATCACTATATCATAACAGCAATAGGATATGGTAGGGTTTTTGATACGTCTAATCCTTTAAACCTCTTATTTGCTGGATGAAGTTGATTCATTATGATATTTTGCTATAGTATCTATAATTACTCACTTTCGTTAGAGTACTACAACATGATAATCATAGCTTGTCAGTCATTATTTTGCAAATGAATTGGTTCCTTTATAGAACGGATCTATTTTCTAGGAAAGTTGCAACAGCGCATAATACTTTGAGCCCGTCCACACAACATACTAACAGGCATACCGACAGCTGATTTGATATTATGGTTATGTATCATAGGTTATGTATGTATTTGTTTACCAGTTCTACTTGTATCGATTTCTAATATCAATATATTTGTTAGCCCATATCTATGTCTATACAGTTTATAGTTGTTTTATTAGTTAGGTGATCATCGGTATTTGTCATGATTTTTAGTCATGATATAAACATCAACAACGACGCCAAGTTGTCTTATACTTCTATTTTTTCCATTCGTCATTTATTCGTTAGCTATTCGCTAGATATATATTCTTCATCTTCATCATTAGCTACACTAGATTCAGAATGTACGTCACAGTTTGCCGCCCCCAAAATTGGAAATTGCTTCATTTTGAAAATAAAAACGCCTTGGACTTTATCGATCGTCATTATGTACAGCGTGGAGATAAAACAGAGGAGTTCCGAACTCAATTTGAGGAAAATTCATCTGAAGAAGACTTCCCCATTGTTTCATGTTGATGGAATCTCACACAAATTACCTTGATAACTAAACTTATTCTACAGTACCTTGGCCGGCGCGGTCGCCTGATTGGAGACCGCTGGATTTTGTTTCTTTGGGGATACGTTAAAAACTTTGATAACGAAGAGGGACATTATCATCGAAGCATTCAATAGTATTACCCCAGAAATACTCAGCACTGTCTTAGAAGCAACTGTAGGGAGAGGACAGCTTTGTTTGGGAACAAATGGTTATAATTTTGAACAGTTGTTATGAATTATATTTTTCCCAATTACTGTTCGGGTTGTCAAAGTTTAGTTGTCAAGGTAAATCGTTTAATAACATGAAACAATATTTGGAGCACTGCATTGAACAATTCACTGACATATTTTTTTACTTTTCAGTGTTGAATATCTACATCGATGTTTCACACTGTATGATCAGAAATAAGTGGAACTGATGATATTTCCTCTATGGAATTTCGAAAAATCATTGATGATGGTTAAAACTAGGTCGGAACACATTCAAACCACTTAGTATAATACAAGGTTGAATTCAGAATAAAGAAGGTTTCAGAACGAATAATCAGGACCATATCGGATAAAAAGTAGATGATGGTTCTACAAATACGAAACGTCGCGTAGAGAAATCAATATCAATACGTTTCTATGGAAAAGTTTTTTCAGTTTTTCTGTATCTCCAATGATAACGTAGAAAAAAAAAATGATTTTCCGAAAATTCACCTTTTCAGATATAACATAAAAACTAAAAACAATGTTGAGAATTTTCGAAGGCCGTTACCCTCGGAATGCGTAACTTTTTTCCCATTCAAACGATATTGTATCTTTTCCCGTTTCCAAGATCCTTATTATGTAGCCACACTGTATTTTACTCACTCTTATTTTTAATAGTCACTGGATGGTATTTCTTAGATGAGAGTTCGGACCCAGCAACACTTCTGTCCTTTTCTATTTTCTATAATACAATGGTTTGAGTGAATAAAAGAATAAGATATATATTCTGCTTTTAGTCTTTTCAATTTCCCTAGTAGCACCTGATTGTCAGATACGATTTCAGAGATTAGATATTCGGTCAAATCAATCATAGCCGTTGATGGAAAATGGAATGAGGGTATAAACGCCCACTTCAATTTATAGCGATACACTTTTCGCAGAACATATGGATATACTTATCTACTTCCTTATAATCGTATGTAGAACTGTACTCGGAATAGTCTGTTTTGGTTTGGTTTGATGGATGGAACAGCAGATTCTCTCAAACGGATCTTAAAACCTCCTGTTTGAAAATGAACCTAAAATATAGTTTCATTTTAATCTGCTGTAATAAGAAGTGAATTTCAATATATGTCAGTATACCTATCTCACATTCCTCACAAATTCTGATTGTCTTCAAATTGATTTTACCAATTTTACATCCATCAGACCGATATCCAGGCCATTTCATAAATGCCTTCCATGAGAGAATGATTGATATTTCCTTCGGGAAATTAAATGAATGGAATCCATTCTCTTCAGAATTCCCTTAATTCATCACACAGCAGGACATTTTCATTTAAACTTTTTTCTCAATAGTTTATGAAACTATCAATTCATAAAATGTTTTGTCAAATACAAACAAATTTGAATGAAAAATTGAATAAATGATATCCATTTGTTTCAGAATTGGCACAATTTATTACACAGCAAGTGATTTCCATGGCTGCTTTTATCTCGAAAGTATAATAATTATGACATTTCATTTCAATTCTGACGTTTATAAAAATAATTGTCAAATTCGAACAATTTTGAATGAAATAGCGCGGGACGACTATGGTGCTCTTGTCACAATGTCAGGTGTTTAACTTAATAAATCTGAACAATCAAAAACACTAACAGTTGTCATTTCTGTGTCCGAACTTTTATCTAATTAATACCATCCAGTGACTCTAATTTTTCCGATCCCCAAGAGTCACTCGATGTCATGAACGACAGTTTTCAAGTGAGCAATTTGGATCAGATGTTCGGTTGCTGGAATATATAGCGGTTTAGATCCTTATGACAAGAAATCATTTTAAACATCATTTACATATGATCAATTTGAGCGAATCATGAGGGTCCGGGTGGTAAGGCTTCGGAATAGTTAATTTTCACAGTGATTCAACACATATGCATATTCAATGCATACGTGACCACGAGTTAACTTGGTCGGACTCTAGTTATTTGCTGGTCCAAAGGCAGCAACTCTACTTTTTTAATTTAAAAATACTGTAAGGTCGATGGTTTATTCCAATAATATATTCATTTTTCACGATCGCGCATCTTTGGATCACCTTCATTGACTTAACCAGATAAAGCTTTTCTCCACGATCAACATTCTGATTGATTGATTGATTGATTAATAGCAGAATGATCAGTCAGGGATCGAGGCCCAAAACACTGCAGCCTTTTGGCCTATTGTATTCCTGATCATGCTGTTGACTCAGGTGAACAGATTCGCTACCTTGATAAGGTTTAGTATCCTCTTCACCAAATCATTCATTGAACAAGCCTCTTGAGAGTTTAATGCTTCCAGAAGGTTGTATATTCAGCGCGCTAGTGCTACGCACTCCAATATTACATGGGTGGCAGTTTCTTCCTCCTCATTGCATAGTCTGCATATGGGTTCGTCTGTAGATATGCCCATTTGACGCATATGCTTCCTCAAGGGACAGTGGTCGGTTATTAGTCCCGTCACTTGTCTAATCTGACTTCTGTTTAGGCTTAGAATGTCGTTAGTCACTGTTCTGGACAGTGTACCAACCATCAGTTTACTGTGTCTTAGTCCTGGAACATTATTCCAGTATGCCTGATGTCTTTCTTGCGTCCATCTTGCCAGCCAGCCGCGTATTGAGGTTTTGGGGATACCGAACACAGGTTCCGGTCCCATAAACAATGCCGCAGACCCTTGCCTAGCTAGAGCGCCAGCTGCTTCTTTGCCTTGAATTCCCTTATGCCCTGGCACCCATTGAAGAGTTACCTTGTTGTGATTAGCCAGGGTTAGCAGGCTTTGAAGGCAATACCAGACCAGTCTTGATCTGATTTTATTGCATGTTAAAGATTGAATGGCCGCCTGACTATCTGAGCATATGAGGATTTGTTTACCTCTGTATCCTCTTACGATATTCTCTCTCAGACATGCCTCAATAGCCTGCCTGGAATACTGAAGCATACCTCTCAAGCTAGCACAAATCCTAATTCTGGGTATCGCCATATATTCCGGCTCCCGTACCCTCATCAGTTAGTTTATACATTGATCTGGGAATAAATGATATAAAAAAAGAACTGTAGATAAGGAATGAGTGGCGAGAGAAAAGCAACACTACGTCTCATAATATACTTTATCCATCCCACCGGCCTCAGCCTGGCAGCACAAACGGGTGTAAACTGCCCACCCCACAATTTAAATAGGTCCAAAAAACAAATTTGACTTTTTTAAGTCAACATACATTTAATTTTCCTATAGAAATCTATAGTGTTTGAAACATTATTCATTCAAAACGATTAGTTATGAAATATTCGAGTATTTGAAACAAATTCATATCAAAGAACAAAAATGCTCAGAGATTGAGAAAAAAACTAGATACTCATTATAAGTATCAACTGAGGTAGCAATTCTAGAGCAGAAATTGCATTTGTTGATTTGTGAGAACCTGACAGCATTAATTTTCTCATTCAAATATTATTCATTCCAAGATATCTCGAAAGATCAAGGAACAAAATAGAACTTAATTCTGAAGAATCCAGCACACGCATTATCAAGAAGCATAAAAAAATCACCCACTTGAAACATGAAACAATTTGTTTGGTTTGTATCTCCGACAAAACTTACACGATCACAATTTCTTGATATAATAATATGAGTGGTTCTTTTATCATGACTCTTGAAGGCATTTGACGTATTACCATCGTTCGATGTTTCAAAAAAATTTTTGCAAAAATTAAAAGAGGCCACTTTGTGGCTTTGTCAAGAAGCTTTGAATTACATGTTGTAAGTAAATAATGATGCGACTTCTTTTAGAAAATTATCAGGATCATAAAAAATCTCTATGATGGAGCATTTTATTCAATAAAACAAGATAACAAGATGTTCAGCAAAAAATTTGACTTTCTGAAGGAGTCTTACAGGGCGAATCGTTAAGTCCCCTTTTATTTTCTCTTTTCATAGCTGACATTGAAGACTACTTTCGGACACACGACTCAACAGGACTCAATATTGATGGAAAAAACGACATATTGATGTTATCATATGCTGATCACGTCTTAGAAGTTGTAAGAAACTTCACCTACTTAGGGACAGAATTTTCTTCATCATCCTTGTTTCTAGAAATGGCCAAAAGAACGGTCATGAAAGCCAACCGGGCAATTGGATCTGTAATGAATTTAATGTTCCGTTCAAAAGTCAATTCTTGGTCATCGAAAATCAAACTATATGAATCTATTGTGTTGTCCTCGTTATCATATGGTATTGCTATCTGGGGCCTTCGTTACGCGGATATTATAGAGCGTGTTCAAGTGCGTTTTTTCAAACGTTTACTTTGTTTGCCAAAAAATACTCCAGACTATATTATACGCATAGAAACTAGCTGCATTGAATTATCATACATTATATTCAAATCTTCGTTATCTTGGCTCAACAAATTGAAAACCATGGAAAACAACAGACTTTCCAAAATTTGCTATGTACGTCTACTTGATTTTGAGAGAAATGACATTAGATTTAATTGGCTTTCGCATGTGAAAGAATACTTTATATTTGCCGATTGTGAAAACTTATGGCAGCGCTTTCTGAACTATAACTCGAAAAAGCTCACGAATGATATTCTGGACAAATTCAAGGAAAAGCTAATTTTGCTCGACTCTGAGAGACTTGCAAGTTCTTCGTACCCACTCCTCCATACAATGGCTTAACAGTTTCCGAACCTTCAAAATCCTACTTGAGTATTCCCTCACAAATTTATATAACACGCATTATTGCTCAAATCAGAACTTCCAGCAAAAAGTCGTTGATGTTTTCGTTTCACGGTTCCTTTCACCACATAGACACAACTGAGATGTGTTCAATTTGCAACTTACAAGCAACCGAGTCTTTGCATCACATCCTATTTGAATGTCCTATCTACTCAGGCATAAGGCAAAATGCGATTCTGTCGGAAATCGGCGATATTGATGGTCTAGTACTTCTACTCAATGCTCACAATATTTTACACTTAGCAAACCTTGTGAAGTCCCTGATGAATATTATGAAGTTACGATCGTTCATTATGAATGAATGATTGTTAAAAATGTGGCTATTAGGTATACTTAGGAACTTGTATAACTCTGCAATGTGTAATGTACCTACATTAGTTACTAAACTTATGATCCATGTGGAATCATGTTTGCATACCGAGCCCTTGTGGTAAAAATGTATTTTTTTTTAACACAATAAAACTATCTATCTATCTCTCTATCTTTTAGAAAAGTTCCACTTACTGGACAGGTCATCAGCAGACAGCACATGATAATTGAAATTCCTTTTGACAAGAATTCCATTCAGTATTTTTCCAGGGTTTGGTTCATCGACAGCCAACTGTCCCATTACTTTGGCAGTTTTTTCGCCCCTAAAATACAGTTCCACCGAATGAGTGTTTCTCGGATTGTACAAGTTGATAACCGTATTCGGGTCATCCTCATATTCCCGTTGAAGGGCTGCTTTCAGACGACTCATCTCATTTTGTTCTCCATGAACAAGGACCTTAAAATTCAGTGTTAATTTTCTCATCCATGAATACTTCAACAAACATTTCTAATGATCGAAACATTTAGAGTAACAACTGAAGATTCTAGAATATTTCTGCTTCAATTCGGGTATATAGGAATAGTACACTAGCAGCTGCCTTAAAAGTCAAAATATTTTCAAATTAGCTGAACAGGAAACAAACGCAACCAAAAAAATTCGTAGATTAGCACATTCCTGAGAAAGATAATAAGATACCAGTTGAATTATTGTTACCAACATTTTTTTTAAATTGAGGAAACTTGGATAATTAACAGAATGATGCAGGAATCTGTAAAATTTTTGTATCAAAGCTAGAGCAACATTGTTGACATAAAATATGACTTTTTTATTGAGTGTTTCAACAGCTAAGGTATGGTGCTAAGATAAAACTAATGATTTTGTTATACACCCAAAATTTCAGCCGGCAAAATATTAGGTCTTGTTATTATATGAAATCTGCTAACTTTTGAGTGCGTTGAGTTGGTTGAGTTGAAATAAGGTATTAGTATAAGGAACAGTAGATTCCCGAAATTCAATGTGTTACTCGAAAATATTCGTTTCACATTTTTTCTTTGCTAAATTACTGACACAATGGTGTCTAAAATGTTTCTTAACGTACGACATGTGGTGGCTTGAGCATTCTGATGAATTCACTAGTTTGTTGATAGTCAGTATGGGCCGAGAAAGATATGTAATCCACCGACATTTTGAGGGGTAATTTTTGCCCCACCATTGTTGTTATTTCTTCTGGTTCTGATAATATTGTTTTAGCTAAAGTACCTTCCACACAATAACCTAAAATATTATTTCATTATAACAGTCTGAACAATAATAAATAGGTTTGTAAAATTCTCAAATATCTTCGAAAAACAATTTTTTTTAAACATTAAGTACCTTATTATAATAATTTGTTACCTTGAACATTGAAAAATAGTACCGACCTGCAATAATAACACCGTTTTTAGGATCTGTACACCAATTTTCAAACAGTTCACGAGATAAGCCACTTTGCATCATACCAGGAGAGGCCATTATAACGCATGGTCCAATGTCTTCAAAATGGTCTATTCCCTGAAACATGATTTTTTTTGCAATTGCATTACCTCATTGGTCCCAGCACTGGGACCAAACGCCCCATAAGTCGAAACTTGTGCGAGGTTAGGTAAGCATACAGACACAAACATCCATGGCCTAACTAGAATTCGAACCTATGTCTCGGTGGGAGTCCCCATACGAACTCAGCGCATTCACGCTCTCGACCACCGAGCCGCCATATAATTTATGTTCATTTCGTGAGAGGGCAGATTTAAAGATCCAGGGTGTGTTGAAATACAGAAAAAAGTAGTTTATTTTGAAGAGACCTACCATATACTTAGTTTTTGTAATATTCTCAGCAACTTCACTTAGCGCCCTAGGAGCTAAGTAACATGCATTGATATAGATAATTGTAAATATCTCGAAAACGATCACCTCCAGCGTTGTATACGAACCGTTTTTGAGATGAATAAGCATATACGTTCTGAAACATGTTAATTTTGCCTATGTTTCGCTCAAATTTCATTTTTCTACAAACGTCAAAAAATGACATGGTTCACGCATTGATAACAAATTGCGAAGTGACACTTTTTTTCAGTTTCCTACGTTACCATGATACCTTACACAAAACAATGCGCGAAGTACCTACATCGCGCATTGTTATGTAAACAATATGAGATTTTTGTATTAAAACTTTATGGACCCTCAATCGAGCAAACATCCAAGAAAACATTCATCTCTGAAAGTTCTACAATATTTTTTTATCTCTTGGAGCGCACTAAAGGAAATTCCTATGATGTTCGTGGAACATCGTGTGTACCTACTGATAGGAAGAGGCCATTTAAGCCAGTTCAACACTATTTTTTATATTAAGCTGAGCATATTACTACATCAAACTATATTTTTTGACGTTTGTAGAAAAAATGTTGTTTGCAAGTAGTGCCAGAAGCGCCATGTTGAAAAATTCAGTTTTGGATCACCAAAGTAGCATTTCGCGCACTAGATATGAAAATAACTATTTCATTACAATTTTTCACAAATAATGTTATAGAACTCCAAAATAAATGCCTTACTTATCTGTCAACTGCCATAGTGAATTTTTTGTAGCAGAAAATGAAAAAATATAAATTAATAAAAACAAATGGCTACCCAGTATTCAAACTGAATTCAATTTTGATATTAGAGTCATTTTGTTCTATCATTGTGGACTAATATTCAGTGCATAAAACACCAACATCAATCGAAACTCAAATAACTGACCTTCAGATTAGAAATATGTTTGAAGACAAATGGATTGTTGATCGCTATCTGCCTCTTAATTTTATCATTCATTGCATTGATATAGGTCTGATACACTGCCATACACTTCTTTGCAAGTGATGAAGCATAATAAATTGGAATGTCATGAATTTCAGGGTGTTGACTCCAGTACTCATCTGAAAAATTTTACAAAGTTCAACTAATCCAAAACAAAACAATATACGATTACCTAATATCAATAGGAGTTCTTGTGCCCTTCCAAGGGCAAATACTGGGATTAAACATCTGCCACCTCTGTTAACGATGTCATGGACTAGACTGGTGAACCTACTTTCACGATCTTCACGTTTTTCATGGATATGTGTACCATAAGTAGACTCCTATGAGTGATGTAAAAAAAAAATCAACAATCATCACATATGTCTCATTGGACTTTTTTTGCAAACATTTAGATACTTTCGCTCTTTTATCTTCAGTTATAAAAAATATAATCTAGTAGTGTTGTATGGGACGTACCGGAGAACATGGCCAAATGGCCAACAACCGTTACCACCGATACAACAATGCCTGCATGCTCCGTGGGTGACGTCAATTAGTGAGGCCTAACCAGCGGCTCGAAACGACAAGCGCTTATAGCGCTATAAGGCGACCGCGTATTTCGATCTTAGTTTAAGATCATCATTGAACCGATTTTGCTGTTTTTTGAAGGGCTTCCGGTTAAAAAAGGATGCCAGTCGTCAACTGAGCCCTTCTTCGCACCCCATTCGATTTTATTATGGAAAAACGAAGTTTTAAAGCAAAAACGAGGATAAAACACAAATATCCACCTACAGCAACCCATTCGAATTAAATATATTGGCAAAAATTGTGGTAAAGGTAAACTTCACACCTACTTATACAGGGCCCGCAGAACATAAACTTATCGTGAGATTGATCGAAAGAAAATTGTGGAAAATGTATTTTATTTTGATTGACATGCCGTTTGTTACAATAACCTATATTTATCTTGGAGAATTCCTATTACCTGAAAAAATAACCAGTGAGTGTTTTCAATTTTCTGTTGTTGGATTTTTCACCCAAGTGGATCGTTACACTTGAAACCGTAATTTTTAAGGGTAAAACTGCATTTATCATGCGATGGTTTTTTTTTTGAAAAATTTTTTCGGTACTCACGTATTTTTGTCTGATAAACCGAATTTTATAATGAAAATGTGAACAAACCACTATTTATTGAGATATTTCAAGAAAAAGTTCGAAATTTCGCCTTCTTTCTCCCCTTGTGTTGGGGGCATTTGAAGCTACTTGCTCTTATTTTGTCATTGGACACTTTATATACTCATGATGTACTTCGATGGCACATTTTTATATAGAAAATTCAACAGAAAATATGATTTTTAAGGCGAGTTTTTCATATTTAGTGAACAAGCATTCCAGATGACGACCATTTAATCAATAGTCAATCAAAATACGAGATGTCAAATGTCAATAGATTGCTTTCGAATGACATTACACACGCCATTATTTTGAATGATATTCTTCCTTCTTTTCACTAAATATGGATTAATCTTAAGAAAATCATATTTATAGTTGAATTATATATAAATTGTCCAATATGATGAAAAAAGAAGGGAAATTTGTTCCAAATGCCATCCAGAAGACAGGTGAAAAAGAAGGTGAAATTTGGAACTTTTTAGTCAAATATCTTCATGATAAATATCATGATAAATGCAGTTTTACCTTTTTAAGTAGAGTGTTTGTAGTTCATGTTGATATGATAGTTGCAATTTGATCTTTGGAATGAATTCTGCATTCATAGCCACGAGGCAAATGACCGTTTTCAGAAAGAAATTTGAGAATGATAATTAAAAATGCCCGTTTATTATGAACATTCAAGAAAATTTCCTCGAATTCAGAGATGATTTTGTTGACTCTCTCATAAAAAGTATAAGTAGAGGAAAAATATTAAAGCTTTGATTGTGCAGTTAGTTTTGTATTCGTATATTATATACGAATACAAAACTAACTGCACAATCAGAGCTTTTCTATTTTTACTCTACTTATACTTTTTATGATAAAGTGATTGTCTTCTATTATTAATTCATCATTATAAATTAAGCTCTGTTTACTACTGAACTAAGATGGAGTAAAATCCTCGCGGTGAATTGCATACAGTGTCTTTCAAAAGTATCGGAACGGTCTCATATTACAGGAACGGCTTGAGAAAAATTCACGAAATTTTCTACAGGGTGATTATTGATGATGTCCGATTCAATGGTGGCATCGGCAATGTTGCCAAGTTTACAGTTTTCCAGATATTAGGAGTAACTTCATTTTTTCAAATGTAATACCCCATTTATTTTTATTGCAATTAATTAAGCGCCTCCTAATTACTTGAGTCCTTGAATATCAGATTCGTAATTAACGTGATTTTCGAAATATGACAACATAGCATTTTCGTTAAACAGTTCTGGAACGGTCCCATATTTCAGAAACGGCTCAGAGAAAATTTATGAAAACTTCGACAGGATGGTTGTTGATGATGCCCGATTCAATGGTGATATCGGCAATGTTGCCAAATCAACAGTTTTACAGAATCGATCGCAATAAAATTTCATATTTTTGCGTGCCCTTTTGAAAATATTGGAGCGTTCGCGGACATTTCAACGGAGCATGTTCTCATATTTAAAAAACCACACTTATTTTAAATTTGATATTTGAAGACATAAGTAATGAGGGGGAGCTGAATTGATTGCAACGAAAATAAATAGGGTTTTCCATTTGAAAAAATTTAATTACCCTCAATATCTGAAAAACTATTGATTTGGCAACATTGCCGATATCACCATTGAATCGGGCATCATCAGAAACCTTCTTGTATAAAATTTCATGAATTTTCCTTGAACCGTATTGAAAATATTAGAAGGTTCCCAGACTTTTGAACGAAAATGCCATGTTGTCATATTTCGAAAACCACTTCAATTTGAAATCTGATATTTGGAGACATAAGTAATGAGGCGTAGCTGAATGTATTGCAATGAAAACAAATAGGGTATTCCATTTGAAAAAATTGAGTTACCCTAAATATTTGAAAAACTGTTGATTTGGCAACATTGCCGATATCACCATTGAATCGGACATCATCAATAATTACCCTGTAGAAAATTTCGTGAATTTTTCTCAAGCCGTTCCCGAAATATGAGACCGTTCCGATACTTTTGAAAGACACTGTATACCCACATTTTCGATAGCTCCTCGTCCAACGGGAATTTAAAAGCATGAACTTTTGAACCCCCCACATAATTCCCCCGACAAAAGGGAACACAACAAATGAAGGGCATTGTTATTTCGCCGATCACAACACAAAATACTTCACAAAACAGTAATTTTTCCGCCAATTATTTTGATGAATAAACAACAAAATAATCGGGACCGTTTCAAAAACATACGTGAATCACCGATGAATTAACACGAACTGACGCGTTAGTCGACAAGCGATAAAATAAAACACTGGCCTCTCTTGGTGACGTCACGAGCTGTTTACGTCAGAGTCTGCTGGCCTTGTTGTATCAATGGTAACGCAACAACACATACACATTATTTACCTCAAAAACGCGTAAGAATTGTTGCAAACATTAATTCCGGTCCCTAACAACCGACACAGTGAAGAAAATGAATGCCACTCGCCCATTTTTATGAAAATATCAGTTCTTCTAGTTCACTTTATTCCACCACCAACCATAAGATGGGGGAAACTGGGCCGGATTTAAGCAAACGCAACATGAGCGCGCGCCTAGGGGCCGGCACCACAAAAAAAATGTCATCACTGGTCATATTTTACTATCATAGATAGTATGTTCTACGTGCATACTTGATACAATATACCATGATTGTGGATGTAGAATTGGCGTTAAGAATGTACTTTCCTTTGATGGCGACTAATTGCTCTGCAGAATGATCATTCTCTAAGCTGAATAAGCTGATCAAGAACAGACTTCGCATCTCTGTGTCAGGAGACAGGACAATTTCCAAGTATCTGACCGCGAACTACAAACTGTGAACCATGAGAATATCATAAACTCCTTTATTATGGAGAAGATTAGACGGAAACCAATCATCAAGAGTGACTGACTAAGATATATGATCATAAGAAGAGAGAAAGAGTACCTAATATTGACTTGTACTTTTCTTGTTGTACACTTAAGTTAAAGTTATGTATCCTTTTGTGGCTTATCTTCACCGAAAATAACCTGTGTTATAAATTTCAAACTTTCAGGGCGCGTACCACAGGTGGAGCCCAGGTGTCTGTATTTTGTTTGAAAGAACTTAGAAAAAACAGATGTTGACTGATTCAGTTCAGTTCTAGTGAAATATTACAGTTAGCTCAGAAAGAAAGAATAATATAACTAACCGTAATTAGAACATCTGGGCGTACAGTGGGTATTTCAGCTGCCATCAAATGTCTATCTTCTTGACGAGAAAAATCTCCTGTATATAAGATCTGTAACAAATAGACAATTCTGATCAGATTGATTATTTGCACTACCTATCACTAATATTATTCCACCAAGTGACCATTTTATCAGAATTATATTAAAAAATCATACTTCAAAATAACTTCCAGTATCATTATATTCAGTTATGTTCTTCATTAATGATTATAAACAACAATGTTTCTTGGAGCGAAGACAATCAGTTTTGCATTCATCATGATAAATAAATAAAGTGACTGGCCTAACCTAAACTAAACTAACCTGACCATTTTATCAGAATTATATTAAAAAATCATACTTCAAAATAACTTCCAGTATCATTACATTCCGTTATGGTCTCCAGTTGAAGTTGTTTTTTATTAATGATTAAAAACAACAATGTTTCTTGGGGCGAAGACAATCAGTTTTGCAGTCATCATGATAAATAAATAAAGTGACTCTCAAATTCCACTCGCCTACTGAATTTTTTACATAATCTGTAGAGCTCATGTAGAACTCGTCATTTATTATTTCTGTTGAAGCAAATATTTTCTTCAAAATTAGGAAAAAAAAGGTATGTAACATATCAAGCAGTGAGAAATCTTTCAATATTCAATTCATATCAGGTATAATTTTAACAAATATTATAGTCACATAGTTGTTTATGTTGAGTCAAGTTAAACTATGTTCATGATTGCATCTCATATATTCTCAATATACAATCTTAGGGCACATACAGGTGTTTTAACACCTAAGTGCGTTATAATATTTTGTGAAATTTGTATATTTGTATATTGCAATTATTGTAATTAATTGATTGTAATTGATTGATTGTAATTGATTGTAATTGATTGTAATTGATTGTAAACTGCTAGAACTTTTGGATCTGGAGACAAGGACTCCAATAACACTTTGAATAGGTACATCATTTTCCATTTTACATTAGTTTTCGCCAATTCAGAGCTTCCAATTGACAGCAATCTAAATCCTTATCAAATCACGAAAAGAATAAAGGAAAAAAAAACAGTTGTGATTGATCTATTTTCTACGGCTATAACACAAAATTGCTGTTATTTTACAGTGTTGGATACATCAATGAGGTACTTTGTATGTCATCAATTTTATTTACGTATCAGATATAACAATGACTCAATTGTGTTATCCTTTCAAAAAAATCTCATCGCTCATGGAATGTCAAATTTCAAGCAATGACAGCTTGGTCTAATAAATGATCATTACTTAACAGGAAATCAGATGGCTACCAGACGAAAAAATCAAAAATGCCGCTATCATCTGTTACAGCCGTAGAAAAATTATAGTGTATAACTCGCACGGAATACTAATTTTCCACTCGAATGATTGCAAACTTCTTTCTCGTTGGAAATCCGAGCTTCTTAAACAATATGCTATTCCTGCACATTTTTCAGATGTTAATTCAAGCAAAATTTCAATTTTTCTTCAAATTCAGCCTGCATCTGATATTAGTAGTTTTATTATACAAGGTGATTGGTAATTATCAAAAATTAAAGGGCTAGTAGACAAACCTAGATATAGAAAAAATATAATGAAAAAACTATGCTGTAGACCAACGAATAGTATAGCTAAACATAATTAGAACATCTGGGAGGAATAAGATCAAATGTAGTAGTGATGAAAACAAAATTCTCAAAGAAGAAATCGATAAGAATTTGTATGACCATTATAATAGTGGAATGAAGAAAAAGCTAAATCTTAAAATAGGTATTAAAGGGCTGAAATTATGGGAAAAAATGGGAAAAAATGGAAAAAATGAACTACAACAACTGAATAGAGACGAGCATTCGTTTATAAGTGGAGATGATGAATTGCTGATGAATTATATCAAGTTTGAAGATGGTAAAAAAATTATACAGTAATTGCAGAAGCAAGTGCAAGATTATTCCAAGATTTTCAATTCGAACAATGGAAAATTAGTTATATCTTGGCAGAATTGCCTGGTTTTTGACGTTAATGTGCTCACTCAATGTTATTATTATTATTATGATTTCAATCATGTTCAACATAAATGTAGACATGAACCTACATGTTTGCACTGAGGAGGCAAAGATATCATAAAAAATTGTCCCAATAGATCATCAAAAATGTGAAAACTGTGTATCTTTAGATTCGAAATTTCAAACCAAATACCCAATCACTCATCAAGATTATCAAAAGTGTCAAGTCTATCGACTCTATTAAAATAATTATCAATCACAAATCAATTATGACTTCACGGAATTAAATCGAAATCGAAGAATATGAACCCTTATTAGAATATTATCCTACTCAATCAAAAAACTGAATAGAAATTCTATATATGAATGTCAGATCAATGAAAAACAAGTTTGATCAATTGGAAATCATTATCGGGAATATAGACCCAGATGTTTTTATCATATCAAAGACTTGGATGAACAAAGAAGAGGAATCGTTTTATAACTATGCTAAATTTAAATCCATATATGCCAGCGAAATACGAGGTGGAGGTGTTGGTGTCTTCATAAAAGAAGGAATAAAATTTGAAACTTTGAAGAAAATTGAATCTGTAGCTGTGAAGCTGAAAAATCATGATCTGTGTCTGTCCGCTCTTTATCGGCCACCAAAATACACTCACCGGCAAAAAAAAACAGGCCACCAAAAAAATTGCCAGAATTTTTCACCCTGTAACTTTTTCAATCCTTGTCCGATTTTTGTGAAATTTCGAACACATCGTAGATTTATGTTCCGGAATCTTAACCTGAATATCAGTTTCCATGAAAAGCTGATGACTTGATCATTATACAGGGAAAAACCAAAGTCACTATTTCACCCTTCATTTCTTAACGCCCTGTGGCAAAATTGAGTGATTGAACTTGGTTTCATTATGCTTCGGATTGAAGTGTGGTCCTTTCTGAACACAATAGTTTTTTAATCACGTCAATATCTTATTTTCAAGAGGAGATACAAGTGTTTTAAGAAAGTGTGGCATTTTTCAAATTTCATTAATACTCGTTTTAACAATAATCACAACCTACTTTAACTTATTGATTAATAACTTGAAGAATTAATATCACATATTTCTACCTCATTTTCTTAGCACTTACAGAAAAAATCTCAATTACAAAAACAAACAAAAAGCAGAACTGTTTATAGTCAATAACGACTCATTCAACGAGGCATTCAACCGCCGTGGCATCGAGTTGATCAAATTTCTAAAGTTGTCTTGAAGAATTGCCTAAAAATCTCCTTGAAGGGCGAATCGTAGCTCTTGAAGAGTCTCTGGCATGGCCGAACTAATGCGAACGAGTCTCTGGAGTTCATCCCTAAGATGCTCTATGAGTTTTAAATTATTGTTGACGATTTTTACTTGGTATTCGTATTATTTCAATATATTTGTAGAGGGACAAATCAGATGATTTGCCCCAAAATGTCACTGCGTTTAACAAATTTTTCTATCAGGGAGTCTAAAAGAAAAATCCAGTAGAGAGAAAGTAAAATGAATGTACCACCTCCTCGATTAACCTACAAACAGTATTGTTGACGAAATTTCAAAAATCCATACTTTCTTGAAAGACTTGTATCTTTTTTAAAAAGAAGATATTGACTTGAATCTCGAACCATTGTGTTAAGAAGGGACGAAAAAGGATCACACTTCAATTCAAAACATGATCGAGCAGAAGGTTGGAGAATGGTTCTGAATTATTGTTGATAAAAATTAAAAAAATCCATACTTTCTTAAAACACTTGTATCTTTCCTTAAAAAGTGGTTATGAAGCTCAGTTTAACCACTCACCTTTGCCACAGGGCGTTAAGAAGTTAAGGGTGAAAGAGTCACTTTTGTTTTTTCCTGTATAATGATCAAGCCATTAGCTTTTCTTAGTACCATATCCAGGCAAAGATTCCAAAACATGTATATACGATTTGGTTAAAATTTCACCGAAATCGGACAGGAATTAAAAAAGTTACAGAGCGAAAAATTTGGCAAAATTTTTTGGTGGCGGATTTTTTTTGCCGGTGAGTGTATTATACAGGGTGTTTAAAAAACTGACCCCCTTGCTAGGGTAGGTAAAACACTGCAAAATAAGTTGGGTTTGCTCAGTGAAAAAATGTCAAAACGGCATCCGTTTTCATGATACAAGGTGTTGAAAAAATGATTTTTTTACACATTTTTCACGATTATGTGGAAACTACTGACAACATTGTGATGTCATTATGTACGGATGATTTTTGAAATCTGACATATCACATGAAATTGTTTTTATATCTGACTCTCATAGAGGGCGCTAGTTACACGGTTCGTACCGAGTAGTATAGAACATAACTTTTTTGAGGTTAGATTTTTCGATCCAAATATGATATGAACTTGGACCTCATTCAATTTTACACCAAAAAGCAACTCTTGGTGAAACTCCGTTCCATTCCGTTTTCGGAATATTTCGTTTTGAAAATAATGGAGTAATAACGATGCTGGTATAAAATGAATTTTATTGAGTTCAATTACCTATTTATTCAGATTCAAAAACAATAAAATTATTCTTGTGCTGAAGTTATTGATGGAACAAAGAATCATAAGAAGAAAATTAAGAGATATTTGACTAGAAACATAAAACATTGAATCAGTTAGAGTGTTTGTTCAAAATGTCCTACGTTTCGACGAATACACGATTCTAATTTCTTTTCTTAAGATTGTATTCTTCTTCTAAACTGTTGAGGATCAACTGTCAGGTCATTTAAGTGATGTTCCATTATGTCTTACAACTCTTGACGTGAATTTACCTATGTAGCTTAGACTTTCTGTTCAAGATACCAAAACTGTGTAATCCATGTTCTTAGTCAAATCTGTTTTGATGTTATTCTTGTGATTCATTGTTAAATGATGAATGAGTTTAGCATTAGAAAAGTATTGTTATTTTCGGTTTTCAATAAATAGGTGATAAATTTTCATAATACTCGCTCGAATACATAGCTTTATACCAGCAACAGTTATCACTTCATCATTTTCAAATCGAAATATTCCGAAAACAGAACACAG